CTAGTACTAGTACTTCGATTGGTCAAAAAAACGAACTGGACAAATTTACTTTCACTTCACTTTCATGTTCCCGAAAGGTAGTTGAAAAGTACAGTATGAAAGTTCAAGATATTTTGAGAAATAAAGTATGAACACCTATTAACTATGTGTCATAACAAACATGATCAACTGTAGAAGAAACAAACATCAATACATTGGAATCAAAAAAAGGAGAAAATGGTGTTGAGGAAGTGGCATCAGGTAGTTGAAAAAAAAACGACGGAAACCAGAAAGAAGTTTTCAAGAAAAGAAAAGAAAAAAGCTTCATAACGAATATGTGATTGTGTGTGAGTGTGTGTGTATTTGTTGGTTGCGCAAAGACGACTCAAGAAGAAATGCAACTCGGGAGGCGAGAGCCGAAATGCGATGGTGATGAGCAGGAGCAGCGGGAGCCCAGGAGCCTCGGTCCTAGAGACCATACGGGACGAGCAAACACACCCAAAATCTTGCTCTCTCTCTCCCGCCAATAAAAGCTCTGAAGACGAAGGCATGCGCACTCGAGAACGCTTTATTTATTGTACTTCCACACCGGCCGAATACCACGTGGAAACACAAAAAGATGGCAACTTATCAGTACGGGGGATATTCGGTTGTCGGGGGAACTAGCAAAAAACCTGTATTGAAAGGGCTCCCACACTGTTAAATTTGAGCTCAATTTGAGCTCATGAATTTGAGCTCTCGACTCCTATGGTACAAAAAATGTGTCAACTGCTAAAATGTTTATGAATTTATGATAAACAATTTATCAGTGGACCATTTATAGTAAACCTACAACATGTGTGATTCAGAACGTTCTGTCTTTTTAGGAATCTTTACTTTTTATGATGCTCTGAGTATCTAGGGATGGTTGGAATGGAATTCGGAGTTCCAAAGATTTCGAAAGTTCCGATTGGAATATTTCCGAAGTTTTTTTGAAGTTTTTTGTTAATTGTTCTCGCTTTTGTGATGGAAAAGTGCGATTCCGAAGTTCCGAAATTCCGAATATTTTCAAAACCTGAACATTCCGAAATTTCCATTTTCGAAATTCCGAAAAATTTCAAAAAGGACATTTCGAACACTTCTGTGATAACCTGGGAATCAAAAACAAATCCCACTTGAAGAATGCTTCTGGGAAAAATTGAGAACACTGCTAAGAACATTTTGAATAAAAAAATGTAGCGGAACTCCAAAAATCCGAATTTCCTTAAACACATGACCAATTTTAAAAGGAACAGATGTTCTCACAAAATCTATGTTTTCTCTGCATCTCTTCTTAACCAAATGTTATTTCGCTTAATGAGACATCGAAGTGTGTTGTCTCAAAAAAAGGAGGAATTTTCGGAGAGAAAACTGTTTATTGATAACAAGAGAGACTGGTTGCAGAAACACTTCTCCTCCCACCAATCACTTTGGAAATTTATCGGACGCAACAAAACGAAGAAAATGGAATGAAGGAAAAAAGGAATCAAAAGAAGAAGAAGGAGAAGATATTGTTTCTCTTAACTATTTATCACTGAATCTTTGATCATGTCAGCAGAGAATGGAATTCGGAACCGATAGCTGAGAAGAAAAGGAGAAGAAGAAATACGGGCATTCACATTGATCCTCATAAAGAACCTAACATTTTCCTGAGAAAAGAAAACAATTGTTTTTTTTCCGGTGCCTGTGAATGAAATAGTTATCAATTGGAATGTAGTACAGTGTGTTCGCCAAAACGGTTTGCGGGAAACAGAAGAAGAAGTGGGCGACCTTAATTAGACGATCATCCTTGAGGAGGCAGTTCAGATATGACTGATAAGTGAATACATGAGATAGAAGAAAGCAATGTATGAATGAATGCGAGTGTGTATGTGGTATTGGGCGGAAGACGGAAAAACCATAAATCGGAAGGGATCGAGTAAGATTACTTTATCAGTATTTACTAGTTTTTCGGTTTCGAAAAAACGTGTGGTCATGATCAAGGAGTACTACAACTACAGAAAACTTTTAAAGACCAAAAATGCTTAGCATTCCAAAAATCCTGCGATAGAAACATACCGCAAAACCTGTATTAGAAGGGCCGGCCATTCTATTTTTCCAAGGTACCTCCGGGGCCCTTCTTTTGCAGGGGCTCTTCAATTAGAGGGGATCCTTCTATTTTTCCGGCTATTTTTTCCGAAAATTTCAATCAAAAAATTCGACGAATTTAAGTTCAAAACTCATGAAAATCTATAAGTTTCACCAAAATTGAGCAAGTGTTTCACTCTTCCAACAAATTACTATGAAAATTTGGAATTTCCGGAATATTTTTCATAGGAAACTTACGGAAATTGTTTAATTTTAAAACACATTTTGAAGTTGGTCTTTCTTCACAGAGGACCCTTCTATTACGGGGGCCCTTCTAATACGGTATACTCATTATTCACGGTATTACTCTGGTATAAATTCAATGCGCGTTACTGCCGAAAATTCGACGGTGGGCGGAGCTTAGGTCCGGTATTCGATTAATTTCATTAAGTTTGAACTTTTTTAATCCCAAAAAAGAACATTATTACGAAAACATATGCTTCGAATGCGCCTCTGAGGGTTTCGCTACCGGACCTAAGCTCAAACAACCGTCAAATTTTCGGTCGCAATAAATTAGTACAGAGTCATAATAGTTTTGTATGTAGTTTTTCGAAATTTTTGGCAATCTTCCTGTCGCTGTGGATTGGCGATTCTATTACAGGATTCAAAGTATTGGCTTCTCGGAATTCTGAAGTTAAGATACTCTATATATCCTTCAAATCACTTTGGGATAAATGTATATTCCCTGGATAAAAAAGGAAAATAGGATTATAGTAACTTAAAATTTAGAATTGATCGAATCAAGCTCTAACTTGTTTCTGAACTATGTAGGTTCACTACCACCTCGAGCGTCGCTGACAACTTCTGATCGGAGGTTTGTCAGATTCGATCGCTACTAAAGAAAAACCAAAGATAGGATCGCTACTAAAGCCGACCAAATTTAGGAACAAATTTTCCGAGCTATTAGTATCCCAACCTTCTGCTTTAGACAAAATCTGATCATGGCCCGATATAGATCCGTTTTTGAGCTAGTTTCGATCAGAACTTGGCTAGTAACGCTTATAATTTCAGTCCAAAAGTTACGAGCCGACAACCGAGAACGCTTAATTACCGGAAAATAATTTGGATGTACAAAATCCACAGTTCGGGGAAACGGAATAAAAATTTTCCCTTTTTTAAGTGACCCCAAAATTTTTGTACCTCCCGAATTACTCACTCTGATTACCTGCTCAACAAAATACAGCATATTAACACAAATTACTGATGCGGGGGATGATCATTGAGCTTTTTTGCAGGATTATAAGAACCAGGAAATAGCAGAAAACAAACAAAAAGAGCAAATATGCACTTTCAATTCCAGGAGTACGGTTTTGAAATTGACTCATTTTGGGTTTCGAAATAAGATAAGAGATGTTCGATTAGAAAAAGAGGAAATGAAAAGTGCGATCGGAATAAAAAAGAACAAACTTTTTAGCAGAAAGACAAAAAGTGTGGCTCCCTCGCAACTCTTCACTTTTGAGCATCTCGAAACAGAGAACCCCCGCAAAAAAAATGAGAGAGAAACAGTGAAAAAGAAGACGGTAGAAAGTCGGATACCGAAAGAGTAAACTTGGAGAAAATGGGGGAAAAGATGTTGGGAGGAGGAGGAACTGTACGTAAAGCAATTTCCGCTACTATTTGACACTCTGCCAAGATTTTATAGAAAAAAGACAACGAGGAAGAGTAAAAGAGGATATTTTGTGTGTCTTTGGCAGAAAAAAACATTTGGGTTGAAAGTACAAAAAGTGAGGTTTCAAATATTACGTTCGCGACATTGAAAGAAAATCGGGATCTGTATTGTTTCTCGAGCTATGTTTAGAATCTTCCTGACCCAATGAGAAAACCTCATGATCCAATAAATTTATAGAAAAAAAACCTCTAATTTTTATTTATTTATTTATTTACGATTGCAAGAATCGTGGAAAAAAAAGGAAAAAAACATTAAAATACATGATAATCAGATTCCAAATGGATAAATAATAAATTCTAGTGATAGGAAATGTAAAATAATAGAATGAACTATAACTAGAGTGAACATTAAAAAGAAACATTAAAAAGAATTTTTGCAGCAGAACCATTTACAGGGTGGCACATAACTACCCGGACTCAAGTTTGTACTAGCATACAATTGGAGTAAAGTGTTATACTGGGCTCTCGTACAAAAACCAAAATCCTAAAATATTTTATATTATCTTCAAAAAGTCATGTTATGCCTCATAACTTTCAACTCGAAAATGCTACACAAAAGTCATCAACTACGAAAATATAATTTCTTGTTTAAATAATGAGAATTCAACGAAATAATTGTTAAAGTTTCAATTCTGAATCTACACGGCTTCATCCAACGAACGACATACAGGGTGGCGCATAATTACCCGCACTAAAGTTTGTACTAGCATAAAACCTTCAATTAAGCGTTGTACTGGACTCAAATTTAAAGTGCAAAATTTCAAATAATTCAACAGTAAACTGGCGAAGTTTGCGATTATTTGATCAACTTTCAGCTGCTTTATCGCTTGTTAAAGTTGCTTCATCTCATGAAAATCTCAACGGCGTGCAAGAAACATTACGTCGTTCGTCTTTGGACAATCGTAATAATACCCAGACTTGAGGAACAGCTTTGAAAATTTCAGAAGCTTTGAATAAAACGAAAAATTATATTTCTACCAATTTTTGTGCTTCCGATGTTGTTATGTCTAAAGATATACCCGTTTTTATCAGTCCGGGCGATCCCCTGTGAGCTCAAATTTCTTCTCCAATTACTCAAATAACCCAATTATTTTACAGTAGTATTTATTGAGTTATCTGTTTTATCAAAGAAACGAATAAAAATACATTAGTTAAAAGACACGAATTATTATAAATGAACATTTTTCGGATGTCTTGTAGAACCCAAATTATGTCAAGAAACGGAACGACATCTTCTGCTCAATGTCTGTTTTCTCCATTGCCTGAAACAATTGAAACATTTTCCAAAATCAGAAAATGTCCAGACTTACATTGCAGAATTCCTGGAATGTGATGTATCCATCTCCATCTCTGTCGGCTTCACGCATTGTGCGATCAGCGATTGAGTTGACTTGCTCTTTTGGTACATTTGCTCCGATCATCATCTGATTTAGTTATGAATTATTTCAAACACTTTGAAATTAAGCTTGCCTCCAAAATATCCTGGAACTCGTCCTTTGTGATGGTGCCACTTTTGTTCAAGTCGTACATCGTAAAGGCGACTGCAAATTAGAAAAACACATATATCACACCGCTCGTCGTTTCTCGAAAAGAGGCTTACATCTCAACTTAGCTTCACGGCTGTTCCACGGATGCGGTTTGTTCTTGTTAATCGGACGGAAATGGCTCAGGACTTTTACAAAGTCTTTGAAATAGACCTTACGGCGCTCGAGGACTCTGAAATTATATGAGATTATAGGACGTTTGTGCTTGAGTCTTTTTTATCGGTGTTTCACTGAAAACTTTATCAATAGAATATTCCCTTTATTTTGTATTTTCAGATACATTTACCGTAAACATTATAATGGAACGCACCCCAAACCGTCAATTTTATGCCATATATCTCATTTCCTCTAAAAAACATTTAAAAAGAAGGTATTGTATAAAATATTTTGCCCGTTTACCACTTTTTGACATCTATTGCAGGAACTTAGATAAATTGACTCAAAGTTGAACGGGGATAGGGTTTGATTAGTGTGTTTCCGGTAACAAGAATTTGGAAGAATGCACTAGGTTTAGAATATTTTACTGGTTTTTGATGGTTTGAAAAGGAATTGAACCTTGATTTTGCAAGTTTTTCTCTATTCAACGAATTCGAAATTGGGTCAAAGGTCATCTGAACTTTTTCGAAATGCCTTTTCAAGGAGATGTTATTATGTGAGTTTGGCACGACGACAAAGAAAATTACTTTACTTTTTATGGGTCGAAAAATCAAGTAACACATTTCTAGCCAATTCGTACTCCATTTTCTTTTCTGTTTTTGCATTTTTCTAGTAATTTTTTGTTCCAGAATCGACATCACGCGATTTGTGTTGCCTCTTCGCTTTTATCGGTTTGTATTCGTTGTTTCTTCTTCTTCTTTTCCAGCAATTCTTTTCTTTTTTTTTCTTCATTTTTCCAAACTAATTGGTTAGACAAGACAAGAAAAACGAGTCTCCAAAATGAGACAAAAAAGTCTGTGTGCTCCAAAATGAGATTAACACACAAAACATTTTTGTTACTGGGGTTAGGTTTTTTTATTTGGTTACTACTTTATTTTGGAAAAATTTCAAAGTCTCAATGATGATGTATTCAAAGAAGCACTCTTTTCTTGGGAGGAGAGCTCCTCACTTATTTTTTTTTTCTCTTTCTATCTGGATAGAAATTCTCACGGCAAAAGTGTAAATCTCGAGAGAGAGAGAGAAGAGGAGATGACAGCTGCTCGACGAGCGACCCATCTGGCTCCTCACCAAACGCTTATTGTAAATACTTTCGGGCCGTTTAACAAGTTTTTAGAGTTGGAACGGAACAGAAACTTGTGAAAAAGTTATTTTCATCTTTTCTTGAGGTTTAGCTTATTTTGAAAAAAAGATATTTGTGAAAAAGTAGGTGACCAACATCACAATTTTTTTATTCGAGATTTATGGAACATAACCTAAAACTATATAAATCAGTTGTTTTCTTTTTTCGGAATTCAGATTTCAATTATAAATCATAAAAGGAAGTATTCGTCATTTGTCAAAAGTTGTCAGAAAGTTTGAGATCCCCAAAGGCGGGCCTTCGCCGGCCCAGCCATAGTTTCTTTTAGAAGAAATATTTTTGGACCAGATAAATTAGAGTACTACAGAATGATATTCGAAAAATTGTGTCTTGCCTATGAACAGAGTTACAAACAAAGCGGGCTGAAAAAAAACAGGCAGGACGCGGCCCGGCTATGATTACCCACTGTATGGTTCACAACTTTCTTCATTTACAAGATACAGTTTCCCAAATAATATCACTTCGTAGTACTCGTTGAGTTCCATCATATCTTTTTAAATTGGCCCAAAAATATTGGTTCTCAAAAAAACTATGACTCGGCCGGCGATCGCCCGCCAGGGGCCCGTTTTCAAGAATGGTTTTTTTCTGAAATCCACTTCTTCGTCTCTGATTTTTACATTATTGCAATAAACGCAGTTCAATTCCTGTCAAAAATTTTTTTTTTGAAAACTGTAACCCTTTTTCAGTTTTTTTGCACCGAAATTCCTCTATATCTATTTCCGCCTGGCGACTCTCACAGTATTCAAAATTTCTAAGAATCTGAACTTCTTCTGATTCCTCAAAATAAATGTTCAGTCTGTTATCATTACTCTTCGAAGTATTCTACGAAAAGCTAAAAACGATGGAAGGAAAAAGAAAGTAGAAGAGAAAAAAAACAATAAATCGAGTCTAGAAGAATCTAGAAGTCACCCAACCTAAAACTAATTCTTTGTTCTTCTTTTTATTCCCACAAAAGACAAAAAAGAGTTATTCTTTTTCCACTTCTCCTACTCCTCTTCTATTTTTTTGCTACGAAAGATTTCTCCGTCCGTTTTCTTTCCGCCTGAATCGAACATTATAAGCCAAAAAGTCAACGAGTCTAGTGGCCGCGCTTCTTCTCAAAAATCCCCCAGGGTCATGCTCTTCTAACCTAGTACTACCACACAAAACGACGGGTTATTTTTTGATTCCCTATTTCTAACTGTTTCTCTTTCTCTCTTTTTTTTTCTCAAAACCACATTTCAACCTACTTTACACAATGTCATGCGGAATAAAAAAGTTTTAAACTCCAAGAATCAGCATAGTAGAGGAGTACGCTAACTTTTTTCTAGGTTAGATACAGAGTTGCTTCGGCTCTTTTGCTAAAATATCTAGGTTAAAGAACAATCCAGAATCAGAAACCTATTCTGGAGGCAGCGGGCATCCCCGCCTTAACTCTCTTTAAAAAGGTTTTTGACATTTTTCGGTCAAAAATCGTAGTGGGAGGTACGATTTTTCCAATTTGGTTGGTCCTGAGTTCCTGTAGACCACAGCAGAGATATCCGGATTCAAGATTCTGAGTTCCGGATTCCAAATTCCGTATTTCAGATTCCGTATCTCCAACTCCATATTCCGGAATCTGGATTCTGGTTTCCGGATTTCTTATTCCCTATTCCAGATTCTGCATTTCGAATTCCATATTTTGAATTCCGAAAACCGGTATCTAAACTCCTGTGTCCGGACTCCGAATTCCGAGAAAGTTATTTCAAATAAATGGGATTACATTTTTTTGAGAAAAAGGCAAGGGTAGTTTTATGGTCATCAGTCGGAATAAATTAATAAGAATATGGTCTGTATCCTACAAAACCATTCCGTGAAGGAATACCGAATTTCTACAGTACACCCTTTAACTTGAGTTGTTTCCTTTTTTCTGAAACTCAACATTCTAGACGTCATAAAACTCAACAAGACGAAGATGAGAAATTCGCCGTAGTTGATAATCCCCAAACATATTATTAATTCAACATCTTCTCCCACTATTTTTCTCTACTCCAAGACTCCTCTATAAGGTTTCGTTTTTGGGGACGAAGAACGGGTAATAGAGGAAATAAGGGAGGTTTTGAAACATTAATAGAATGAATGAATATTATCTAAGCCTGTGGAAAATGAAGAACGTAACCTAATCGAAAAGAAGCCGCCCAAAAATATTTATGTCCCTGTGGCTGTGAGTTATCCCCTTCATTCTCTTCCTTTTCCTTCTTCTTCTTCTTCTTTTCTCTATTCTTCTTTCGTCACTTTCTTCTTGTTTGCTCTATCATATTATGCCAGATTTTTCACTCTCTGAATCTCTCATTATACTCCCCCTACCGTCTTGTATTGGAAAGAATATTTGTTTTTGAATACACTTTTTGTCATATTTTAGTGGGCGTTTTCACTTACTCAGCATCAGCGAAGAATGCGTCGATTATCCGGTCTCCAAGAGGGTTTTGTTTGAGTTCCGCGATAGACTGAAAAAATTTAGATGATGTTAGAAAAGTCGGCTTTAGAGATTTCAGCTTTTAACTATAGCAAAACCTCAGAAGGCCTCCCTGACTTTAACCTTTGAGTTATCAAAGCAATTCTTTAAATCCCATCAAGATGTTTGACTTATGAAATGTATTTCAAAGAATTTATATGTATGGCTTCTGATTAATCTTGAATGAAGTTATGACTTGAAGCATAAAAATTGAGAAGTGTCAAGAAATTTGATCTGCTCATTTTCAATAGACATCCTAATGACCAAATTTTTTCGTACAGCATTGTTAATACCATACTTGCGACGGGCCAGGCCGGGCCTTCAAAAAGTTTGTCAAGGCCCGGCCCGGCCCGGGAGGCCCGGAAGCTCGGACAGTTGGCGCCAGCTTCGATTTTTAGGCAAAAAAAACTTTTTTTTTTGGAAAAAAGTTGATTTTATGATCTAATTTTAAGCTAAATTGTAAATATTGAATTTGTAAATGGTTAAACAAAATTTTGAAAAATAGTTTTTTTTCTGACATTTTTCCGGAAGTGGGATCGGACGGAAAATTGCATTTTTGAAGCAACATAACTGTGTTTTTCTCAAAAATTAATTTTTTTTTTTAAAATTCTCGAAAATTAATCAAAAAAAATTTTTTTTTGATAAATTTTGACCAATAAATATCCAGCCGGGCCGGGCCTTAGGTTAATACTATCAAAATTTTGATGCTCTCAGTTTCTAATTTTCTTACCTGAAAATCTCCTTTAGTGAGGAAATACTCATTAGTAGTCTTGTCTCGATGAGTTGCCAATGAAATGAACCGGCTGTACAGTTTCAGAATTCCTCCGCGAGATACTGAAAAAACACAATTATCTTAGTCATCGAACCCTCTTTAGTGAGTCCAGAATACGTTAAGAAACCCCCGAAGACACCCCGAGAAATTGGAAAATTGAAGTTTGAGCTTTTCTCTGAAGATGGGCCGGGAAACGGCAAAAAAATTTATTGGAAGAAGAAGAAGACTACGTTGTTTCACTTCTCCTTCCTTTTCTCTTCTTCGTGCCGTTTTTTTTCATTCACCACCTTCTTCTTTCGACTCTTTTACTTCTTCCATTTTTCATGAATAAATATGAGATGGTGTAAATTTTTAGGTTACCTTGAGTGGCCCTCAAACCTTCACCCAACTTTTTTTTCATTCAGTTTCATATATCCTAATTTGCGTTTCAGACTCAAATCAACTCACATCCACTCTCAATGCTCAAGTGCTCGAGTTCGTGTTCCGGAATTTGAGAAGTGGTTTGACCCATTGTATCTGGAAAATAAGAATACAGAATTTGGAAGAAGTGGCAAATGTGAGCGACGATTTTTGAATATTCAAATTCCAAAAAAAAATATTTTGCTAAATGTCAAAATTTTTTTCTTGCTTTTCAATCAGAATCAGAAAAATAAAAAAGAAGAGAAAAAAGAATAAAATATGTCAGAATTGAGAAATTTCGTTTCCATCCAAAAATGTCGGGAGAAGATGACAATGGATGGGAAAAAAACGAAAAAGAACGGAAGCTCGAAAATGTAATTTCATTTTTGCAGAAATGCCGCGAAACTGCTATCCATTATGCGCAGAGAAAAGAGATTTTATGGAGGTGAGTCGTTTTTTTTCTCGTTTAAAAAAGTGAATCCGGATTTTCTCCCTTTGCGAAACAAAAAAGTGTCAAAAATGCTTTTTAGCCCATATAATAGCCCATAAGACCGTATTATGAAAAAAAAGTAGACAGAAAACCTTCTAGTTTACAAATAAAAATGTGGCATTTTTCTGAATATTAGAGCATTCGGGATTAATAACTCATCAGATATATTTTATGATTTAGAAAAGTTTTTTTTTTCGACTTTCTTTGAGGTTTTCAACACAAAAGTGGTCGAAAAGCAATTTAGTAATCGAGAAAAATGATCCGAAAATGTTTGGTGACGGTAGTTTTCGGTACGGGAACCGTTGGATACGCCCACAATCTTTTCTCTTCCACATCTTTTTTAAATAAACATAATGTCCTCTACTTTTTTTGAACGTTCTGAGAAACTGTGAAACAAAAAAAAATGTCATCTCATTAGAAAAATGTTTCTGGTAAAATTTGAGAACACTTTTTGAAGAAATGTAGAAGAACTCAGAAAATTCGAATTTCTTTAAACGAATGTCCAATTCTAAAAGGGACAGATGTTTTCATAAAATATCACTTTTTGATACCTCCTACAGCATCTAAAAACAGTTGGGGGCAAAGTATGAATGTGCCGTTTTATTAGAGGTTATACGGTATTTTAGTATCTTGTTTCAATATCAAAAGTATCTATTTTCCGTTAAGTCTTTTAGTTTTAAGACGACTTAAAACTTAAAACCGTTAGAAATCAAGACTGAAACGGAAATCGAAAATTTGGTTGAGAGAGGGAGAGAGTCCTGTCTGATGTGGCATGAACAAATGTGGAATTGATAACAACGAATAATGATAAGAATAGCACAGTTTTATGACTCGGCGGGCTCTTCGAACTTCATCTTCCTTCTTCTTTTTGTCGGCATCGTTGTATCGCATTCCATTCTTATTTGACGTGGTCATGGGAATGTGTGAATGCTAAAGAACAGAGCGAGAGGATGCAGAAAGAATGAAACATATGAAGTTTCCTTTTTTGGGAGGGGTAAAAAGAACAAACATTGTATAATTTTTAGAATTTTTCCCATGATTCTTCCCATGATTCCGGAAAAGGCAAAAAAGCAAAAAAAGAAAGAAAGGATAGGAAATATAGACGAAAGAAAGGAAGGAATTGCAATAAACTAACTTTATGAGCTGTTGGTCGTTTCTCGATCAACAAAAAATCACAAGATAGTCAAATAATCTTTTCAGCACAATCCTGCGCAAAATGGAACTGATTTCTATCGAGAATATGATCCGATGGTTGGTATCGGAACTGCCGCTGTGTTAGCATTGTTTTTCTTCACGATTACGATAAATGGGTTAGTCAAGATTTACGATGTCTTCTCATACACTTGATGACTTTTTATCGTTTCAGGTGTATCCGATGTGCTGTTCGCAAATATAAGATGCATAAATTCTACAAAGAAATTCGAAAAGCAGAAGATAATCAGAAACCTATATGTGATACAGTATAATTTTTACGATGATTTTATAGTCTATGTTTGACCAAACAGTTTCTGACCTCAACGGGTGTGGAAGTGACACATGAAGATGTGCATATTTAAAGGGTTTCTAGTTTCTCTGTTGTATTGCTCACATACGTCATTTTGAACTTGCTACTATAATTCTCTGAACTTTTAACACCGGTTTAAGTTTTATACGATTGACTCGGGGGACAAAAAGACGGGGGTTTCGTGCTGGCTAGTGTCTGTGGATGGAATACAAATAAACAGAAAACGTCAAAATACCGGTTACATACAAATGCCAATAAAAAAAATGGAAGAACACTTTGCAATCGAGGAAATACAAGAAAAGGGTGAAATGGGAATATTTGGCAAAAAGGAAACAGAACTAAATACTTCAAATACTGTGTTATCTCTATTTTTTTTTATTCTACAAGGCTTCCAAATCGACGTGCCTAATGTCTGGATGCTTTTTGGTGATTTCTCCTTCAATTCGATCAATTTCATCCCCAAGTCGGTCGATCACTTTTTCACCGTGGTTCTCCATAAACACCACTAGCTCATCTTCATTTTCAATTTGCTTAACTTCCTGAAAACAAATATAATTCAGATTGACCTCAGAGATTTTCAAATTCATACATTCAGAAGAGCTGGTAAATGCACAGCTTCTTGCAAGTAGGCCCTTGTGATCATTCTTCCATCGAAATCCAGTTCCGCTTTAAATCGACTCTGCTCTACACCCAGACAAGTGGCTTTCACATCATGAACTGACCTGAAATGAAATTTTAGAGAAATTAGAATATGAAATTTTAGAACTTGCCTAATCATAGGATCATTGTTGAGTCTCGCGACAATATCGTCCGTTATCCGTTTAGGCAGACTGCGACCTACTAGATGGGCAGCATTGGTTCTGATGATGAACGAGGCAACAGTTCCTAGAAAAGACAAAAAAATAATTTCGAATATCACAGTCTAACCTAGCAAAGCTCCAATTACGATTGATCCGCAGCAATCAGGGATTGGAGAATTCAGGAATGACGAGAGAGAAATAGCGCAAAGAGCAATGCCAACCTGAACAGCCAAATATAAAATTATGTCAGTTATGAGTTTTTTTTTTGAGCTAGGAAAGTTTGTATTTGAAAAGCAGTACGGTTTCTTGAAATCCGTTAAATTGGTATATTAACGGAATATATTTTTTAGAATATTTGAATTTTGTCGTTTAGAAAAAAACTTTAATGAAACTGAACTACCGTCCCCCAGTGACTGCAGCAGTGTCTTCCAAAAGTACAACATTGAGAGAAGGATCAGCAGATGTACGGACTGTAAAAAATATTAATAGAGGGTTTTGAGGTAAGATAAGGGCTACCATAGTTCCACAAGCTGATTTTCGCTTTTCTGGCTTTAGCGAAAACTTCTCGGTATGCAGTGATGGCAGATGCGCCTTGAAAGCAGAGTGACATGAACAATGCGTAGTAAGCCTAAAAATAGAAATTATTTTCATCTCTACGTAGTTTCTTACATAGGTTAACGGTTCGAGTGGTTCCGGATGGAGAAGGCCGCTTATTCCGTGATACATCGACAGTCCGCATCCGAACGCCATAATTCCACATCCAGAAATGAGAGATGTAACATATCGCATGTTACCTGGAATCGGAAACAAAAAATATGATTGCTATGAGTTAATGTACCGTATCCGTAGGGAAAAAGTAGGTCTGGATTTTTAGCAGAATATCGTATTCCCAGCAGCAGAATCAACTGATTGCAAGTGTCCATTGCACTGTGAATCGCTTCGGCAAACAGAGATTTGGATCCAGTCAAATATGCAGCGGTAAACTATAATAAGATGTTGATGTTGAGAAAAAACAGATGCAGAATGACGGTAGTACGGTAGGACATGAAAACTACCACGAATTTGGTACTCCTATTTAGTTGTTCTTACCTTCATTGCCATATCACATAAATTGAGTGTGAAAGCGATGGCAACAACTCTATCTGCCCCTTTATGTTGGTTCGTTGTTTCTACTCTCATTCTCATTCTCATCCTTTCCGCATCTGTCAACTCTTTCCTCATCGCCACTAATGGTCGTCGATGAGCTTCGAGGGTTCCGAACTTCCATGAACTTTTAGAGCTTTGTGATAAACTTCTGTTAGTGCATACAGTTGGTGACTATTTTTGTTCATATTCTGATGGTGCGAATGACTGATTGTCGGTTTGCTATGACTAGGAAGATCTTCAAGGTCCGATTCTCTGAAAAGAAACTATTGTGAAAATCATGAATTCCATTTTTACTTCAGGCCAAATTCTGCCATCGCACTGAGTTTATCAATTTTGTCGTTCTCATATGATCTGGACTTTTTCGATAACTGTGCAACTTTGAAGAGTTTCTTCATTTTTCTCTTGGAAATCGGAATACCATCTTGGGAAGTCGTGGATGGCGGATCCGACGACAAGCAACGGACCATCGCAAACATTATGGTCGGATTTTTTCGACGAAAAACTGGAAAAAAATAAATTCCAGAAACCACAGCATTGTTTGATACCTGTGTTCACATTTGAAACCACCAGCGACATGGGAATCATTTTGCCGCCGGTAGAGCTGAAATTACGAACAATTCAAATTATACGAAGCGTATTCAGACAAGTACATCACATTTTAATGAAAAAGTCATACAATAGGCGGTTGTTTATTGACGAACTTTGTCGACAAATAAAAAATTGGTTTTTTAGTGCAACGGCGCTCCATTGGTACGCGAAAGGCACGAGAGACGCAGAGAAACTGTTACTTTTTGAGCTTCAACTCAAGCCCATTCAAGTAGTTCTTTTTCTGATTGTTTTCTTTCTAAATAACTGATTTTGTACAACAATTACTTGGACAAATGACAGCAAATCAATCATTTTCTCTCTTTGCGCCGCCTTTTCCACTTATAAGTGATGTACACCGACAATTTTTACATGAACAGATACCGTATTGTCTATTACTGAAAATGAATACTGACAATGAAGTGATAAATGACTTTCGTCAGCCGATTTTATCTTTCAAAACTCTTTCAACTTTTCGAATTCGAAATACTAGAACCATATGTCCTGAGCTGAATTATGTTGCATTATATTCAACGGTATTCCGTGGCCGAAGGCACCACTAAGACAACTATCGCAACCTGAGACATTTCTGTTTTCAGGATTTATGATCTTGTTTTTTGGTGCTTTTTGGCGAGTTTTCTGTTATTTTTCCCCAGACAAGTAGGAACATAAACATTTTCGATAGTGAAAAAACAAAATTGACTGAAAACGCAGGAAAATCGAGAAAAAATTCCGGAAATAACATATTTTTAGGTTACGGTAGTTTCGTTTTTGGACGTTCGTCTGTGCCAAACTAAGACTGGAAAAAAAAACGCCCAACGTTCTAGCTTTAAAGAAAATATTGTCTTACAGTTAGTTGTAGCTACCGAATCCTTATTTCCTACGAAGAATCCGTATCACCCATCATTTTCATTTTTTCACAATTCATATTCTCTTCCACCGATATTTTCATATTCTCTTCCACCGAGATTTCTCTTCCACCGATATTTTGGCATAAGTGCGTTGGCGGGCGGGTAGTAGGAACTCATCAGTCTGCAGGCACTCACTGTGTAATAGAATGTGGCTCAATGATCACACCGGAGCAGAGACAGAGAGAGTCTAAGCCCACTTTACGTCCTCCTCTGGTCACTTTTACCCCCGTTCTATCATCTCTCGTTCTTTCATTATCTTGAAATTTTCGTTTTCAACTTCATCTTTCGTATCTTTATTCGGAATCCAACTTTCACTTAATTAGCAATGGCACCAACTCCGGATGGCGAACTGGAAGACCAGATTCTAGGAAGTTGGTCATTTTAATTAACAGAGGACTAAAAGTAAACTTATTATTCAGAAATAGCAACATTGTTCGAACAGACACTCAGTCGTCCTCCACCATCGAGTATCGTTGATCTTTGGAAAGAACATTCTGCAATTCGACGAATACTCGATGAAGTCTCAAGCCTCCAAGCAAGAGTCAGTGACACTGATAAACGACTATCAGATTCTGTGTACGTTGTTGGATTCTCATAGTTTTACTAGTAACATTATTTTACAGAAGAGACGCTGAGGTAATCAAAAAGTTCATGGCATGGGCAGATGGAGTTGAAGTTGCAAGGAATAATGTAACGATAGGAGACACAAAAACAAATGGTCTATCATTACAAGCTACTGGGTACCAAATTTTTATTTTGAACTGGGTCTTATTCAATATTTTCAGAACGATTCCAAATGGTCACATCGTTGCCCGTGTTCCCGCCATGCTATGATGACTCTTGATTTGGCAAAGAAGTCGTCTTTATTGAAAAAAGCGTTCGAGCGAGATCCTATTGTCTCTGGAATGGATAACGTTGGCCTTGCACTCTTCTTGGCCGTTCATTGGTTACAAAATGAGAAATCAAAATGGCACTCGTACATTTCGATTCTTCCCAACTCTTTCCCAACACCACTTTTCTACACCGAAGAGCAGCTTCTTCAGTTGAAACCATCGCCGATTTTCGAAGAGGCTCTCACCTTTTACAGAACAATCGCAAGACAATTTTGCTACTTCTTGTTGGCGGTTGCAAAGAATAAGATTTATGAGTCAGCACAAAGAAGGAAGGATGCTAGAAATACAATGGATGTTCCCATTTTCTATAATGCACCATTCACTGTTTACAATTTCACTCCACGACTTTATTTTTGGTCAGTAGGAACTGTAACGACTAGAGTCAACATGGTTCCCAGTGAGAATGGATCTGGAGATGACGGAAAAGCAATCATGGTAATTTGCTTTGATCATTTTCAATTACTTAATTACTTCTTTCAGATTCCTGCTCTCATTCCACTTCTCGATATGGCTAACCACGAGAGTGTTGTGACTGATCCAGTGGATGATCTTGTCTGCTATGCTCCCGCTGACGAATGTGCAGTAATCACTAGTCATTGCGATTTGGAAGCAGGAAAAGAAGTGACAATCTTCTATGGTTGCCGGAGCAAAGGAGAACATTTGATTCATAATGGATTCATTCCCATCAATCATCAGAAACAAGACTTTTTTAAGTTGAAAATCGGAATTCCGAAGAGCGACAAAACATTGGAAGCAAAGAAGAAACTTATTGAGAAATATGTTCAAAACGTTTACTGCACTGGTAATATATTCCATGTAGATCTGTACAATGTGAGTTTGCCTGAACTGAAAAAATAAACTAAATTAAGATCAGTTTAGTATCCCGAACAGCCTTTCCCTCTCGATCTACTCATGTTCGCTGCTATTTTCGTCTGTCCTGAAGCTACTGATGCTGCAATCACAAAACCAGAAATCAGAAAGAAAGGACTCGAGTTTCTGAAAACTCGCTTCTCACTTCTGAAGAGGTCATACGAAGCATCATTTGACGCATTGAAGCTGACACAAGTTGGAATTGACGGAGACGCTGCTCGTTTGAAAGCCGGAGAATCGGAAATTCTTCAGATGGCACTTACGTATTGTGAGAAGCTGGAGAAGCAGAACATATGAATATTTCCTTGAAAACTTTAACTTACTGCATTATCATCGCTCAATTGTTTTTGGTATCTATGTTTCAAGTCTTTATTATGCTTTATGTTGTTATGAAGTAAATTTGCACCTTTGAAATAAGTTATCGTCATGATCCCACCCGACAATTACTAATTGAAATAAGTGTGTGTTTCCGTAATTTTTCAAGCAATGCTTTCTCGAATCGGAGCTTCCATCCGACCATCTCGTTGTTTCCATGTCCATGTGTGGAATTGATCATGTCCTCCTGTTGTCCACCTTTCTTCTTTCGGACCAATTCTGGCTAAGTTGTGATCTGAGTTTGAATCGACCAAAGTGTATCGAGGATGTCGAGAAGACTGATTGACCTGGGAAAGATTTTTTTATTAATCTAAAAAGAAAAAGAAACCAACCACAACATTTGCCTGGGATGGTGCTATAAAGACAGAAATCTCGGAACCGTGATATGATATACTAGTTCTGGAAGGATCATCACCATTCGAAGATTGTCTTTCAGCTGTTGACTTGTTCCCAGAATATCCAGAACCTGAATTTAGTTATTTTTTTAACTTTTTTGTTTAGATGACTTACTAATCGTAGAGGACGGTGCTTGTGGCTGACTCAGCCAAACCCATTCATTCGTCTCTTCTTGTCTAGAATGAGATCCAGAAGAAGATGATAATCGAGAGAAGAAAGGAACAACAAGTTGCTCATACCTGAAAGATATTGAGGTTAATTGATTTAAATTTCATCAAACAAACCCTTTGAAGGCAGCTGATCTTCTAACGCATGAGATGAGAATGAATAGAATAACAAGACCAAGTATTGTAAGAAGAAAAACATGCATAGGGACAGACGGAAGAGTTTCCGGGGGCTCGGGAGTGCTGGAAGAGGCATCCAGATCGTTTATGGAAGGTACTGTAATTAATTCACAAATTAAAAAAAATAAATAAATAAATAAACATACCAGAGGTGTTGATTGTAATTGGAACATTGAGTATTGTAACAGCTAGTGACGCAGGGGATGCTCCGTTGATTGTAGATGCACATTGAGCAGAAGACTGAAGCGCAATCTCTACAGATGGAAGTCTCCAGTGTTCATCGATTGCAAGAACATGGACTTTTGATGCATGGTGAGAAACAACAAGAGCTCTTTCATTATCAGAATGAGCTGACATTTCGAAATATGAAGCATCCAAATCATTTAATGGTTCCCATGTTCCATCTGAGTAGCTAACACTTGCAAATATTAGACATTGTTGGTAGAGTTTTGTGAGAGCTTTCGAATGAGTGATTTCAATTTTGAAGAATGCTGGAGAGAAAAGAATTGGAAGAATTCGAAAGTTTGTATCACAAATTGGGCGAGCTGAGAGACCAGTCGTTGTCACTTCTTCGTTTCGAACCGAAACGTTTTCGGTGACTAGATCCAGAGACTTCTTTGCGTTTCGAACAATCAGTCTGGAAATTTCGTACTTCGAAAATGCGCTTGTAGTTTCTGAACTCACTTTGCCAATCCTACATTTTCTCCAATCATAACCGCTCTGCCTTCATGGAATTTAACATTTGCCACAGTTCGATTTGAGATTTGTAAAGTATTGTGAACGATATTTGTAACATCGAGAAGTATACTTTTATGGGAAGATAGATACAACTGATCTCCTGTTTTCTGATCTTCAATCCATAGCGATGCTAGCACTTTGACCTGAAAATATTTATTTAAGAGTTTTGAATATATCTGCAAAATACATACATGTCCATTTTGGAATCGATTCACACATGCAAACTGTCTGGCAGCTCTGGATCGTTTGATTCCCCCACCCAACGGCAAATCTCTCCAAAATCCAACTTTCCAATTTTTAATAGTTGAAAGTGATGAAGTACTCGTCCATATTTTAAGAGGTAGTTTGGGATACCAAACACGAAATGAAAAGACTGTAGTGTATCTGAGAAAATGAGCATATACTTGAGCATCTGAAGAACCATTCGATTCTGATCCATCGAGGTAGACTGAGGAACAAGTTGGAGATACTTTTATGATATTCGCATCAGATGAAATGCAATGAGATTGGGAAGTGACGTCTTCAGCTCTTGCTCCAATAGAGACAGTGAAGATTCGAAGGGATGAGGTGACTTGCAGTCCAGATATTACTGCCAGATTTATCAACTCTTTTCTCTTAAAAAATAAAATTGTAGTAGCGAGCATAAAAAATCTTCAGAGACTACCTTTGGAACAATGACAACCGCTGCAACTTCATCTGCTATTACATTAAACTTTGTTGCTACTTTGTGATCATCTGGAGGAGGATCCGGACTTTTTGGGCCAAATATTACATGCCAGTGCAAGACGACATCATCTTTTATAGCATATGTGGATGAAACCATTTTGATTAGAATCGCCACAATATTATCATTGAATCTGAAAAAAAAACGATTCACTTTTTTTTTTGGTTTTTAATATCTTACTCTGCCATCCCTTCTTTTGGTGTGCATATAAGTGAAGTATAAAAAAATGGACGGCTGGCAGAAGAAACTCGAATCGTCCAATCGGAATTTGTGGGATATACAGTTTCGATGCTCATCCGAGAGTCTACCCAAAGTCTGAAAAAAGAAAAGTTCCAAACATAATGTGTATGACCTACCGTATCTCCATTGGTTGCGTTTCATTTGCCCAACTCTTAACATGAAGGAACAAAGTTTGCATGGATTTTTGAGAGAACGCTTGACTCGCTGTGGATCTTAAGGTGACAGATCTGCAATTGATCTTGTTCTAATCCCGCATTTTCAGAGTATAATCTTACGTATCAGTTGCATTCGCAAGCCAGTCGACTTTCTGTTTTGCCATTTTAGAATTGATTTCAATCAGGTGTTGAGGAAGATCATGGAAATTCTGGTCACATTTTTCAGATACTGTATATGAAACCGAAAGAATGCTTGTCTTATTCTGATCAATTGGGAACCAGGAAAATGGAACTGGAATTCGAATGACACAGCTCGTCCTCTGATCATCGTGACGATTGAGATAGCATTTTCCTAGTTCTGAAACAATTTTTACCGTATTACCTCTAATAGAAGGCCACTCAACTTTGAGCTCAATAATCTCGGTTCCTGTGAGAGATATAAAAAAACTCGTCAACTGATCAAATATTGGTGATTTTATGATTAATAATTTATCAGTAGACTAATTTTTTATCTTTCACAGAAATCAAATGAATTGGTCTCAAAGTTGACGGTTTTGGTGGGCTTCTATTAGAAAAGGTACGGTGCAAGTTATAGATTTTTTTTAAATTTGGGACAAACACATCACAGCTTCAGAAACTGATCCCTTCTCTTTTTTGGATATCTTCGAAAAAGCGAGAAAGACATCTCACATATCAAAAACGACACTTCTCCAACTGCAACGTATTCTTAGAATTCCTCATTAATAACGAGCAGAGAACCTCTAAAATTTTATGTGTCCTCCGTCGAACTGACCCGTGTCTGTCACAGCCGTAATTAAGTTATTTTTTGAAAAACGATCTTTGGTTCTTAAAACGGGACACACCATTTTCAGATGGATAGAGAACTTTGTTTCCAAAAGGAAAAAAAGAGAAATAAACTAATTATTTTGCCATCACATGGCGAAATTGGTCCGAGTGGTTTTGACACAAAACTCACCAGTTGCAGAAGTAGAAGATGTTATTTGAGCATGTACACAGATGCCGCCCACGTGTCTGGAAAGGGATTCGTCCACCACTGCCAGAAAATCCACATATGGACGAACCTAGAAGGGTTCAGATTGTGCAGGTGGGATTACTGTATCAACTTACTATCACAACTTTCTCAGTAATAATTCGAACCTTTACTGCACAATGCAAGGGGACTTCTTCGAAAACTCGTCTAGACGATGGCAGATCAGAGGAGTATACTGTAGCCATAAGGTTTCGACTATTAGGACAACCATCCTAAATTGAACATTTTTTCTAAAAAAAAGAATTCGAACGAACTTGAACAAAAACCGAAGTGAAGTTCGTATTCTGATGGCTGTGATAAAGTACAAATGCCTCATCGGGTGGAGAAAATGTGATGTGATCCGCAAAGACTTTTGAATCTGAAAACCATTTTTCAGAGGTACAGTATCCCTTCTTTCATTCGTAGTCCTCTATTTCTATTCAAGCTTGATTTTTTTTCCAACCGACTAGAAACAATTTACTTGTGTGCGAGCCATTTTCTATTCAGAATCCTCAGAGAATAATGGTACCAATTGTACAAAAACTCGAAAATGACTGGTTGTTTACACAAAGTGATTCATTATAATGAAGCCACTAAACCACTGTATTCTTTTGGGAATTCTCTTTTTCTTTTAGCCTAGGTGTCTTTAAAAATAAACTTACAGAAGAGCATACATATTGAAATTGGGATAGAATCAGAATCATTATTTCGAAGTGGACAGAGAGATTACAGTAATCTGATCATCATCTTCTTCGTTTTGCTTATCACATTGAATGGCCGTTTTGTGTGAATATACAGACGGCTCAAAAGATGGAAAAATGCGGAGACGTCCACGGATGGGGCAGCGCCTAAGTGACGACGACGAAAAAAAAGAGCAAGAGCAAATCGGCAAAAAAGACAGAAAGAGTATGAAACGAGTAGAGAAAGAAGAACGGAGAGACACAGAGATCGATACGAGACGACTACTGCATCCGCTGCTTCTTCTCCTTCTTTTTCTGGACACAGCTGGCCCCGGGACGACTACATATGCATGAGGGTTTTCGGAGTTTCTGCAACTGAGCTGGAAACTGAAAACAATTTTTTTGGGTTCGAGACAACGGCTCTTCATCAATATACAATTTAAAAAACATGGTAGTAGGCGGGGAGGCAAATAAATCAAACGTTGGTAAGTGAAGAAAAAATGAAGTGGTTACAAAAAAAGGATAATAATGAATTAGGCTGCGAGCTCAAATAAATAAGCAGCGAGCACTTTCATTCCCTTGACGAAGTTTTCACGATTGATCTTCTCGTTTTGAGAGTGAGCCATATCATCTGAAGCACCAATTGGAAGAAGCATCACAGGGCTCTTGGTGAGTTCCTGGATCGTCAATGTGACTGGAATACTTCCTCCTTCTCTGGTGAAATCGGGTGTCATTCCGTAAACTGAAATTATTTCAAATTGAAGATAGATATGTCAATACGAATTTAGTTACCTCTCTCAATCGCTCTTGATCCAGCAGAAAAATTGCTATCGCGGAAGTCAGCAACCCATGGCATTCCACCGTGTCCAGATGTAACCTTGAATGTATTTGGAGACTTTCTTTTGGCCCACAAGGAATCAAGATAGCTTGTGACTAATTTGTCAGTGGCCTCTGGAGTCATGTGTGGGACAATTCTCAAAGAGAACTTTCCGGTAACTTTAGCGGGAATAACAGTCTTGGCTCCTGGCTGACTGAAAGCTCCTTCAACTCCATGAAGAGACAGAGATGGATAACGCCAGCGATTCATCAGAAGATTCTTCTTGTTATCAGCGATCAATCCATGAGATCCAGTCTCTTTCTTGAAGGTGTCAACACAGAAATCAATTTTGTCATAGAGATCATCCTCTTCTTTCGTCAATGGAGCCACGAGCTCGGCGATTCCAGGGATCAAAATTTGTCCATCAACGGTAACCAACTGAGACATAATCCACATCAAATCGTTCAAAGCTTCCGGGCTGTAACAAAATACTCTTGATCAGTTTTATATTTTATGTTATTCTCACACTGATCCTCCGTTAATTCCTGAATGCAAATCTTGACGGGCGCATGAGATTTCAACAAAGTAATAGCAGATTCCCCTAAAAATAACCTGGCTTAGAAAAAAAAAACTATTTCGTAATCGCACCTCAATCCGTAAGTCAAACAAGGTTTATTTCTTCCCAACCAGTAGTTGTCAGAGATACACGAATAGGTAACATCCGAAATCTTGTCAATGTTGTCCTCAAGTCCCTTATCAAGCCCCTCTGAACTGGACTCTTCCATACATTCAAGCACAAACTTGATGTTGATTGGTAGTTCGATGCCTAATTTTTTGAGAACTTTGAGAACAGCAATCCACGCGATGACTGGTCCTTTGTCATCAGTTGATCCTCTTCCGAACAGTTTCCCGTCAATTTCTGTCAACTCGAAAGGGTCGGTGTTCCATCCGTCCTAGAAAAAAGAAGTCTTTCAATTTTCTAGATGCACGAGTAGTACAACTCCTAGTATACTCCACTTTATTCACTCACTTCCTTCTCAGCAGGCTGCACGTCCAAATGTCCATAAATCAGCAGGGTCTTCTTCGACTTATCGCGACCTAAAAACCGTTGTAAGCATAAGAGATTATCGGTTTGAAAGCGTGTGCACACCTTCCTGATAAGACAGGCGGTACAAAGTTTCTGAGATGAAGGTGGGAAGATTTTCCTACAGGTTGGAAACGTCCTTACCGTATACTCCGAAAACTGCTGGTGGAAGTGGCAGCTCTTCTCCGGATGACAGCTTTTGTTTTCCGAGATCCCACAAAGAAGTTTCCACACCGAGAGTTCGCAATTGCTGGAATAAGAAAATGTATGATCTGTAGAGAAGTCCTCAAAGAGAACTATGTGTGGCAACATCAAAGAACGATAAATTTTGCCTCTTCCCTCTTGGAAGATTGATAAGGAATGCACTTTAATGAGTCTGAATGAACTTACATCGCGAGCCCATTCACTCATATGAATGCAGTCACCGCGTCTTGCTGGATCAGCCGAAACTGAACGAATAGCCACGGATTCGCGAAGTAGGTCGATGAACTCCTCCTGATGTTCATCAATCGACCTGAAAATCAGAATAGAAGATGATATTAATATAGTTTAACAAACTTGAAAACCGCATCAATGTGCTCCATTCTGCTTCAATATGTGTTCTCGTCTAAAACAAAGCAAAAATTTAGATTTCCAATTAGATCATCAACATTAAGTAAGAAGAAATTATAAAATGAGAGAAAGAAATAACCACAGTGACAATGTTCCATTCTGACCATGACAGGAAAATGGACGAAAAGTTTGATGTCTGGGAAATGTCTCGATTATCACTAAAATGTCTGTTGCAGCTCCGCCTTTCATGCAACTTGAGAGCAGAGAAGCTTATTGTGTGATAATGCTTCAAGACTAGTTCGATTATTGGGAGGTTTAAAGGTTCTGAAGCATGTATGAAATATTAGATTGCAGTGAGTTGAAAGTGTATAGTATAGGACTCAAAATAAACAAAGTAGTTTAGTTCAGTCATAATCAATAGTTCAATATCCGTATTTAAATCGTATGCTTCAGATGACACACTAGAAAATTGGTTTTTGGTTTTCCAAGCAATCAAAACAAAAAACAACAATAGCCTAGCGGAACAAAACGGTGTAAACACTACTCAATACGCCAAAAAATGATGAGAACGCGTTCCGGGTATAAAAAAAACAGAAAAAGGGAATGAAAGAGGAAAACGAATTTCAGGTTCTGTATTCAATTTTAAGAGAGAAATCGTAGGAATCGGAAATTATGGATTACAATTTGAATAATTACTTAAGATAAACTGTTTTCGAAAAAAAAAGAATTCAGAAAATTAGGCGATTTTCAAGAATTTTGAAACTGAAGAAAAATAAAAAAAAATCGAGAAATCTGAAATGAAACCGTATCTTTAAAGACACACACGAAGAAGTCATGTAGTGGTTTCGTAGCGATTGCAAGGGTTACTGTATTTCTCTTCGAATTGAACAAAACACACGTGGGTTCAGGCGAGGGGGTCAGAAAGCTCGCCCCAACTAACTCGTAGGCCAGCCGAAATTAGCTAATTCAAAATGACACGTGGATTTCACGTGGTGGGAAAAATGGGGAAATGGAATGGGGAAAAAACGAGAAAAAACGAGCGAAAACGAACGAAAACATCGAAAAATATTGAAAAAAAAACGTGTCGGCCTAATGCATATGATTGTCAGTCAACAAGCGCCGGCAGCCAAATGAGAATTTTTGAAAAATTTACTGGGGCGCGCTTTCTGACCCCCTCGCGTGAACCCAAGTGAAAACACGTTTTTTTTTTGAAAATTTTAAAACATACCGAAAAGAGCCAGGCGTCGGGGTTTTTTTTCTATCGGACAAAGTCGAAGAGTCAGAGGAAATTTTTAAAAAATGTCAAATTCAAGGTGAGTCTACTCAGAGACTTTTTAGCGTCGAGTGGCGCCTCCCCGGCGCCTTCATGGCTATTAGCCGATGAATCCGGCTGATAGCCCGTGTTTTTGGCTAATAGCGATCGTTTCCGGCTCGATCCAGCAAATAGCGCTGATAGCAGTGAAAAACGGCGAATAGCGGAGCGAAACGGCTAATAGCAGTACAAAATGGCTAAGAGCGGTGAGAAACAGCTGATAGCGGCGCAAAGCGGCTAATAGCGGAGAGAAATGGCTAGTAGCGGAGCAAAACGGCAAGGCGCGACATGCATGTCGCGCCTTGCCGCTTTGCACCGCTATTAGCCAAAAATTCTCTGAGTAGATAACAATGGTGAAATTGAACACTAGCTGACACCGTATGATAAAACCGTTACATGTTCAGGTCACAACCCCGTAACAGTTCCCCACCAGGTACACTTGCCTCAGCATCTCGAAACAAGGTATATCGTGAAAAATATCGATAAAAAATGAATCGCAATTTTTTATTTTCGATTCTATTACTGTCTATTCAATAAAACGTGGGCGCGCCGCAGGTTGCAAAGTGACACGCCCCTTTTTGAAACGCGTTCCCTTTTTCCTCTTCTCACGCGTTTCATAAAGGGGCGTGTCACTTTGCAACCTGCGGCGCGCCCACGTTTTATTGAATAGACAGTATGCTTGTCTGAGAAAAAAAGGTTAGAGAGTATTTTTTGCAGTCTGAATACGGTAGCGATATCGAAGCGAAGAGCCTAAATAGTACACATAAGGTGGAGACACAGACACTTTTTCTCTGCGTCTCAACCTTTTTTTCTCAGACAAGGATAATAAATGTTCTTTTTTCTATTATTTGGTTGATACACCTACTGGAAACTCGCAGAGATTCTTTCAGACTCTTCACAACCCAAATATCAAGCAAAATGAAAGAGAAAGTAATCCACTGGTCTCTCGGGAACCTGACTTTTTCAGTCCGGAAGGAGCGTGCCACAAGATTTACTGGTCAGATTGCATAGCTCAAATGGCGATGGATATATTAGGTAACAATTTCATACTTCTAAGAAAAACGTTTATCAACTTTCATGCAGAAAGACAAAAAGCTGTAACTGCCTGCGAATTCGATTTTCTCAAACCGAAGCTAGTCGAGTACACATTCACAGTATGCGTTCGTTTACGTCTACCAAATGAAGTTCGATTCACAGCAGCCCTAATTCTGAATATGTAGTTTGTGTTCCATGAAACATTCAATTAACTCTTAACATTCAGGTATCTTACTCGTCAACTCTGCGGCCTTCATGAGTTCATTGGTCAACAAGCTTTCGATGTTCAAAAGAAAAATAGGGAGTGGGATCGAATGGAAACGAATATGGAAAGACAAATCCCTCTTCGAATTCTTACTGCCATACAAATTAGTACCAAAATACATAGTTATCATGATGTGAGTATTCCAAGAAACAAGTATCACGATTCTTCATGTTATTTCTGCAGAGTTTATCCTCTCGACAAGTTGTGAACACGTTAAGAGTAGTTGGTGTTCCCTATAATATGTCAGCTGTCATGGAATCAGAGCAGAGGGTTTTCAAATTAATCGGTCATAGGTAAATGTTGTTTTTTTTCTTCACCCCATTTGAACATATTCCAGTATACCAGATAGTCCTCTAGAAGCATGTGAAATGGCTCTGAAAGTTCTAACATATACTCTGAATAAGCGAGGAATGGAGGAAGCATCGAGGCACGATGATCTGTGGCAGCATTGTCTCATAGTTCTCGATGTCTGTTTTATTAATCACATAGAGCTTTATGATAGGTTTATACGAAAATGCCCGTTCATTCTGAAAGAAGGAGATGAAAAACGGTAAGATGTTAATAACGAATCTTGAAAACATAATCCAGCGCTTTCAGCCTAACGATGTCGAAAATAAAATGTGACATACTCCTACTTGCATCTGCCACTATCCAAACTGCATTTAATTTATGTATAGGGAAGCAGCACCTTTCTGAAGTGGCACTGATTGTCAATAAGCTGCTAAGATGTCATCCAACCTACGTCGAGCCACTTAGACAGTCAATCATAGAACTCGCTCAATCCAGAAAGGTTTGTAAGCACAACTTAGTATTCATTCAAAATCTTTTTATTCACAAGCATAGTTCATTTCAGACTGTTGAATTTTCACAATGCGATGACGTATGATCCCGTTTCTTCTAACCGCTTACGAACTCTGACAGCACCTTCTTGTCTCAGATTCGGATGGACGTGGCTCGTTCACTGCAAATTGTTGTACTAAATTTCTCTTCACCATCATCATGTAATATTCTTTACTTTTCTTGTCACTTTTTTTGTTTTAGTTCCCTTTTCAGTATAAAACACTTTTGAAATACACTTACATAAAATTATTTGACTCGTCTTGTGCTCCGGAAACGGACGGCAAGCCACCATAGAGAAAAGTTCCTTGATATTCTTCCTAGTCTTGGCGGATGTCTCGATGTAGTCATCCTTTGTTTCCTTGATGATGTTCGTTAGACGGGGCGGTCGTTTACTATAAAATAGTCGATCAGTTTCCTCGATTAAATTCATTTTTCACACTCATTTACAAGATCACACTTATTCCCAACGATAATAGTAGCTGTGAAATCACTCTTGTTCTTATCGATTATTCCTTTCCATCTCACAAGATGCTCAACGCAGTTTTGATCTAGAATCTCAAGTATTCATATTTCGAGAAAAATTGATCGAATACCGGACAGATCCAGAACTAGAAGAGCGACTTTGGAACTTCTGATGTATGCTGGTGTTAGCTGACGGAATCTTTCTTGTCCAGCGGTATCCCAAAGTTGGAGACGGATAGACTGAAAGATACAGTATCCAACAGATGCTTGGTTGAAAGCGCTTCAAATTTCAAGCATCTGCAGACATTTAAATTTCCCGAACAGCAAAAACTACATTAACCCCAAAATATGTTCATTTCCCGGATTTATTTCCTCGATTTTTGTGCGTTTTCAGTCAATTTTCCCAATGTCAAAAATTTTATTATTTTCAGATTGTTTGCAGAAAAATCAACGAAAGGCAGTGGAAACTGAAAAAATGAACCCGGAAAATAAATTTATTTTTAGGTTACGGTAGTTTCATTGGGGGACCTTCGGCCACGCCCACAAGTTCCTCTTTTACATAGCTCCGATTTTTTGTAATATATTAATACATACATGTAACAAAGATCAAAGTGTTATTAAACTTTTGATTCCGTCACACCTCGCTTAACATTCTACTGATTAACCGACCTGTCCATCATTCAGCTGTACAATCTTGTGCTTAAAATCGATTCCAATAGTTGTCAACGGGTCGGTTTCAAAATGATTCTCAAGGAATGAAGTCAACAAAGCAGTTTTTCCAGCTGAAATAGAATATTCATTCCCATGTTGGGAACTTCCAGTTAATCACCCCCGGACTCTCCAACCACCACCACTTTTACCGTTTTGATAGTATCCATATGGCAGAAGAGGAGGATAGATAGAAAAAGAAGAAAAACTTTTTATGGAATATTTATGATCAAAAGGCAGCAAAAAGAGGCGACCGATGTGCAATATGTGTGAGAGAAAAAAGAAGATGAGAAAGTGGGAAAAAATAGGGAAACAATACTTCTTTCAATGATATCAGCAAAATGTTCAAATGTTTTATCAATCACAGAAAATAATTTATACAAATAGTTACAGATTTACTGGAGGTCTTGCCTCTTTCAGAAGCTTTGCCATGTACAAAGGTCGTTCTTGTTTATAGATTGGAAGTAGTTTTGGTTGTAAGGACAGCGACATATGGACTTGTGGGTTCTCGATTGTCGCTGGTTCCCATTTATGTTCTAGTTCAGCAGCGTCATCTCCTTCTCCATTCGGGTCTCTGCAAAGTTGTAAAAATATAGGTATTATTCTAGTACAAAAAAGTCGGAGCTGTGAAAGAGAAACGCCGGTGCCCGTGGCCGAAGGTCTCACAACGACAACTACAGTAACCTAAAAATAATTTTATTTTCAGGGCATATTTTCTCGATTGAATAAACGAGAGAATAAATCAAAAAATAAAACTTATTTTTAGGTTACGGTAGTTGTGGTTGTGGGACCACCTCTCTTTTTGGTTTTTTGGTACCAGAATAATACGATCCATTTGGATTATTAAGACTAACCCATATTTTGCAAAGTTGGTCCACAGACGAGTTGTAATATCAATCATCTTATAATCCTCCTCGTTGAAGTCAAGAGGCATCACTATATGATTTCCTACGACGTAACTGATATCAGTACAATGTGTGGCGTCTGAAACATTGGTAGAACACTTTGAAAGTTTAGAAATAACAAACCTTTAAATGGCATTTTCCATCCCATAATACCGTATGCCTTTTGATTACAGTAATCAAACGAATACATATAAATTGGAGTCAGTGGTTGAGTTTCCAGAACATCCAGAACATTCTGCTGGATTCCAATATTCAAAAACGAGTCTCCTTTCAATTCACACATCGCTCTCTGCCATTCCTCTTTGGAATGGTCCGATCCAACATCAATCAATTTCTCGAGAGCCTTTTCTTGGTAATCTCTGGCTTTCAATGGGAAGAATTTCTCGGAGAGAATCGAAGCAACATCCTGATGAAGAACATGTAGTGGATGTTTTGGGTTCATTCCGAACACTGAATCAAAGGTTATTTTAGAAAAGATCTAGAAAAGATGACTTACTGCACAAAACTAGTCCTTCGGATCTGGCACATCCGACTAGTCTTGGCTTGACTGGAGATTCTTTTCGTAGTTCCATCAGAGGTTTCGGGATGAATAAGTTATCATATTTCGGACCGATGGTGAGTTCTGGGTCGGATTTCAAATCAACTGCGCCCATCTGAAAATTTCAGTCTTTTTGTGACTTCTGATTGTTTTGAAAACTTTTGAAATTGCCTCATGATTAAGTTGCTCACTTCTCATGACTCGTTATCAGACCATCATTTGGTTTCGAAACAAAACTTACATCCAGAGACGCTCCGAACTTTTCAGCAGGCACTTCTCTCAATTTTTCAACCCAATCCAAGGTGTTCATCCCATCGAGAACTCCCATTTCCTGTGCACGATTCCGACAAGAATGCAGTGGACGAGGATGAATGGCCCAAGAGCAACTTGCATTTCCACCCATAGGAATTACTTTGTGGAATAGATCTAAAGCCCAAATTTGGAAGAAAGTTTAAAAAAGGAGAATTTTGAATACCTCTGGAGACTGGAGAAATGCTGAGAAGGTCCACCGAAGCTCCTCCTGCCGATTGACCCATTAAAGTGATATTGTTAGGGTCTCCATTAAATAATCCAATATTCTCATTGACCCATTTCAAAGCAAATGTCATATCGTGAAGTGCCAAGTTATCCGGAATAGAACTGTCTCCTGTTGTCCAAAAACCGAGATATCCCAGACGATACTGAATTGTTACAACAACTACGTCTTTAGTGCACAGATGTTGGCAAATGCTCAAATCTCCGTATTTATGAGCACTGTCACTGATAAATCCACCACCATGGATATAGAAAAGTACTGGGAATCCAGTCGAATTTTTTGGCGTCCAGACTGGAGTGAATATGTTCAAAGTGAGATTATCTTCGGACTGTGGGGCTACCTGAATTTCAAAAGTTTCGAAGTTGAATTTTAGGGAAGTTCGTTACCTTTCCTGACAACATTGAATCTTTTTGAATCCCTCTGGCTCCAAATGCCTTGCAATGTCTCACTTCTGTCCATGGTTCATGGGGTTGAGGCATCTGAATAGTAACTTTAGAGTTTTGAATTGGCTTTATAACTCACAGCGAATCTCAATTTTCCAACTGGCGGTGCAGCATATGGGATTCCTTGGAATGCATCCACCTGTTTTTCTCCTTCATGAATCAACCGTCTTCCTTCTATCGGACCATAGGAAGTCACGATTTGTCTTGAATCCGGATAATGTTGACTATTTTTTGAAATTGTTCCTCCCATTTCGAAAACTAAAACTTTAAAAAATGAAAAAGAAAGTCTAGACTGGTAATAATGGAAGAGTGAAATGATGGCGATGATAACATTGAGTTATTGTGTCTATTTATTTATAAAAAGACTACAAGACACAGAGCACACAACTACGTTCGAGTTAATCAGAGGACTGTCGAAGTCTCATGATTTTATGCTGAAATAGGCAAGAGGGGTATTTTGTTGTTGAGTGTATTAAATAAATAAAGTAATCAAAGTGTGGAGAAAGTTTCTAGAAGGAAAGAAATTTCCTTGTTCAGGTGGTGGTAGGGGTGATTTGATTTCTGATCAATGAGAGTTTTGAAAGAGACTCTCAGGATATTGAGTTTCTGAATTTATATTTTTAAAGCTAGAACTGTCTTTGCTTGAGGTCGGAGTTCCGGAAAAGGTTGAAGTAATTGGTACAATTACTGTAACCAGTCTTATAGAATGCCACTCCAAACTTCCTTCTTTGAGCCATTTTTTCTCGGTTCCTGTGAAAGATATAAAAAAAAGTCAACTAACGAAATTCTTTTGATATTCCAATTAAAAATTTTCCAGTTAACTACTTTTTATATAGTTTACAGGAAATTAGATATTTGGACTTAAAGTTGGCAGTTTTTGAAGGGGTCATCTATTAAAGTATTTATGGTAATCTAAAATCCCAAAAGAAGAAATTAGATAAATATACAGAACCGCTCAAAATGTGGACAATATGCTCATGGGCCCATTGAAGAAGGCCAACTTCAGAATCTTGAAGATATTACCTTACAATTCATTTTTCCGATTGGTTTGAAAGTTTGTGAGTAGATGAAACAAAAATAAAGTTACCGTATTTTTTCTAATAGAGGTCCATGGGCTTCTATTTTCAACCTCCTTCTGCGGGTCAACTAATTTTAGAGAAAACTCTTAAATTAGAAGCCTTTCAATATTTAACTAAACTGGAATAGTTGTAAAACGACAAGAATTGACGGAAATTACTTGAAAAATAAACAAAAAAGAGTATGTCTACACTAGCCGAAAAGAAAAATGCACATCCAGGGTGGGCTTCTATTAGAGGTGGGCTTCAAATAGAGGTGGGCTTCTATTAGAGGAAATACGGTAAATGAAAACTTTTTTGTATAAAAGCTCTTCGAATAGTCAATGGTTTAATAAATTTTGATTTTCAGAATTAAATATTTTGTTTGTCTTTCGAATTTTCAAAATTTCAGAACTTCACAGTTTCACATTTTCAAAATTTCGGATATTCCCAATTTCAATTTTTATCTTTACTATTAACAATCACCAAATTCTGTCTGTGTGTCCGTTTGTTCCCGGTTCCACGAACCTAGCGAAGTCCCCAGTAGACCAAAAATTCTCAAATTTTCACAGATGATCAAAAATAGCAGCGAGATGTTGCCCGTCTATTTTTCATTTGAAATTTTGTTTCGGACGTCATCTGGAGACGTTACTCCATTCCTACAGTGCAACTCTTTAGAAAATTATTTTCACGTCACTTCCGTCCAACCCCACTATTTTTTTTCTTATCCAAAACACTATATCTGATAAAAAGGTGATTTCGTGAAAATAATTATTTAGTCTTAGTTTTGAAAAAAGAGAGAAAGAAAAAGTTCAGGGAACTTTAAAATTCTGACTTTCTGAATCCCCTAACTTCTCAAAAACTGAATTTCGGAGATTCTGATTCACGAAATTTGATTATTTTTTTCGAAAATGCGAAATTTCTAACCATTATTTTCTAACCAAATTTCGAACTATGCTTCAAACATTTTGGTTTCACTCTGAAATTCTAAAATTCTAATTCAGAAATTCGGAAAATTGGAAAAACGGGAACTCGAAAATGCCAAGATTTGAAACTTCGGAAATTTTGAAGTTTGAAAATCAGAGAATTCAAATGTCCAATGTTTCGGAAATCCAGAAGTATAAAAATTCAGATATTCGGAATATTACAAAATAAAAAAATTTGAAAGTTAGAACACTCGAAGTTTTGAAAATCCGAAATCTCGAAAGCAAAAAACCAAAAAAACTAGAAACTCAGAAGTTCAGAATATCAGAAAGCCCAAGTTCGGAATTTCGAAAATTCGGAAATTCATAAACTTTCTGAATCAAAAACTCAGAAATGTGTCTTACAAGGGAAGTGTTTTCAGAGGGGCGTTGAGAATTTGCTCAAAATTTCAGTACTGATAGCTTGAGATATCCGCAATACGATGACGAAAAAAACTAGGTCATAACCCCACCAGGAAGCTGAAAAACTTCGTCTGAAAATTCTGCCCGATTTGGGCGCGCACTTTCCCCCCTCTCCTTTACGCTCTCCGCGCCAGAGGAAAATGTCGGTTGTGTGGTGTAGCGGTAAGAGGGTCACAGGTCCTGGGCGCGCATACGCATAATGGCTGGGCGACGGAGGACGCGCCGATGAATTGGGTACAGGGAAAGGGCGCCGGTATGGGGCATATACGGGGCATATGGGGCACACCGCCGCCGCAAAGCATCTCCTCGCCTGGCTTGCTGGCACTCGATGAAATGAACTAAAACGTTGGTTGGGGGTTCCTAGAAGTATCAGTTAACTTCTATTGTGATGTAATTTTGTTCAGCTCTTCCGATTTCGTACTTTTTCTTTATTATTCCATATTCTTTTATATTTTGAACGACATATTACTGATTTTTCGAAACTCAATGTTTTTGTTTTGAAAAAGACTTATAGCAGTTTCTATTTAAATTTGATATGCAAATTCATATTTTAAAAATGCAATCAAAAACAGAAGAAAATGGGAAAAAATCGCTAAAAATTGTTTTGTTTTCATTTCAAAAAATATGTCTCACTTTCACTTATTTTGAAATTGCATGAAAAAATTGAAAATTTTTATAATTTACACTTTGTAGTTATTGCATACTTACCAACTTACCTTTTATTCCACCTGAAAATACGATTTTTACAATAATTACAAAGTGGAATCAAAAAATCTCAATATCACCTATTTTGGCGAAAAACATAGCAATTAACGAGTGAAAGACATGTTTCTGCAAGAATTCAGCGATTTTTTATTCTGCCATAACTCTTTTTCACAAAAAACATCGAAGGAATAATCGAAAAACCAGAAATGTAGGCCCAGTTCCTGGGCGATGATGCGCATAAAGGACCCGATCCATATGCGATACTCTAGAAGTCCGTTTGACACATATCACGAAAAACGAGCTGCGATGAGTCTCATATGTGTGCGATGCGGGAGAGGCTGAATCGAGTGTTCCGAATGCGCGCGTATCCTAGATTGATTCTAGGTGGGTGGGCGATGTGTGTGATATGGGTCTGATACGGTAGGCAGACTACAACACTCCGAAATCCCGGATGCGCGCATTGTTTACCGTAAATCCACACCGGCAACTTTGTCAATTTTTCGTCAATTCGAGCCTACATTTCTGGTTTTTCGATTATTCCTTCGATGTTTTTTGTGAAAAAGAGTTATGGCAGAATAAAAAATCGCCTAGTTTTTTTCGTCATCGTATTGCGGATATCTCAAGCTATCAGTACTGAAATTTTGAGCAAATTCTCAACGCCCCTCTGAAAACACTTCCCTTGTTAGAGAAAATTCTGAAAATCTGATTCGTGTTAAAATTTTTAATTTTGGGAATTTGTGAAGTAGAATCTCAGAAAGTCGGAAATACGGAAACTCGAAAATACAAAATTTCAGAAATTATGAGTTCTGAAATGAAGTATTTTAATAGAAAAATCTTTGAGTCTAGGATCGCAGTTCCGAAAATTCAGGACTCTTGAATTTTGAAACTTCTGAAAAAATTATAAGTTGTCAAATTTCAAGATATTCGGGAATTCAGGAAAATTATTAGTTCTAAAAATTTGGAAATTTTAAACAGTTCGTGTATCAACTAAGACACATTTCTGATTTACATTTCTGATTTATCTGTCCAAGCCCAAACTCACCAAACGGAAATCGACTGGTTCTTTAAAAATTTAAGAATTTCAGATTTATTTTTGGTTTTGGGATCAATTTTACGGATATTTAATTTAATTTTTAAGGGTTTTTGATTAAATATAAAGCTACAAACTTTCAAATTTCTGCTGAAATGATAGAGAGTAGGACATCTCTTTCTATCATCCCAGAATAAGTTTATATAGGAAAAATGAAAACTAGAAAAATTAATAATTGCTTTAGTCGGGAATTTATCAGAAATTTTTAGCTTGTTTCGTAGACGACACTGAATTTATAGAAAACGTTGTTAACTTTTCCTCAACAACCACCGAGGCAGAAATAAGAATTTGAATTCAGAATCAACAAAACAAAGAAACAGAGGAAGCGAGGGAGTAAAAGAATGAATGTTGAAATGATCAACGCAGGGTCGGGACACCATGCAAATAGATTGGTTGACGAAGTGACGCATCATCGTCCTTTCCCATTTTGTATCGGTTGATACCTGTATAATACCAGCTCATATTGATTGGGTGAATCAAATGTAAACACGACTTGGGACGGTTGTTTTTCTAGTAAGAAAGAGTTATATGGGATTGGAGACTCAAAAACGAATAGCGTACAATAAAAACTTTCAAGTTGGTTTTCCAAGGGATTCCAATCCAAAAAAAACAGTCCGTCGACGGCCCGTCCGTTCTCCTTCGGCTGCCCACTAGCAGTATGTCGCCAGTTTGCACCTTTTCAGTTATCATTTAGTATTTTTTCTGCGATGACATTTCATAAAAATCATATCATAACTAGGTGACAAGCACCTCCCATCTATGTCATTTTCACGTTGGGGGTTTTCATTATTCCACATTAACTTTTTTGTCAACAGTTTTTAGAAGATAATGACGAATGGAACAAATCAATTTATCATTTCTCAACAACTCATCTGAGTATCCTAATCAGTCGAAAACGACACCGTCAAACTGCCCGAGCATGATTCCAGTCTACTGTGCTTACCAGGTTTTCACAATGTTGGTTTTGACAGATTAAATATATTTTAATTTAAATGTTTGTATATTCAGTTCGTTACTGGTTGTGACCGTTCTTGTTGGATGTAAGTCTAAGGCGAAGCCAAAAGGAAAGCCAGCTGTTAAACCAGTAAGTCTTTCGTGGAGTTCAATATAAATGAATTAACACTCAGGCGAGCGCCAGCAAAAAGTCAAAAATGTCGGAGCCGAATCCAGTCGCGTCGACTTCTTCCGTGAAGCAAGCTGAAAAGGAAGCAGAGCCAGCAAAGGAGAAGGAGAAGACGAAGCAAAGTGAAGTGAAGGAACCAGATGCACCGAAGAAAGAGAACGATCGGGAAGCTGAAAATAAGAATAAGGAGAAGGAAAAGGAGAAGCAGGAGGACACCTTCGATGCGATTCAACCAAAGAAGCAGGATGCTGATAGAAAGAAGGAGCTTGGTGACAAGAAGAAGGCCGAGAACAAGGGAGACTACAAAACTTGGAACAAAATCATCGAAAACAGTGAATTCAATAAGAGTTTGAGTGAAAACGACAAGAAAGACAAAAAGAAGAAGAAGGAGGAAGGAACGGATGAGAAGAAAGACGAAAAAAAGGAAGATTCAGATGATAAAAAGGATGAAAAGAAGGATGAGGATGATAAAAAGAAGACGGATGAGGAAGAGAAGAAATAAGATCTCATCTATTATTCATGAAACGTTTTTGAATAAAGATTATAGTTTTGATTTTTGTTTTCTCCAATTTACTTCTTCCTAAAACAAAAATGTCATCTGAGAACTTTCAATGCATGTTGAAAGATTCTCTTGTTTTTCGAAGGGATGACGTTATCTCGTTCATAACTGAAAAAAAAAACATGCGCAGGTGTCTCGGTGCGACTTGCGATATTTGATTTATATCTCGAGTGTCGTCTCATTTCCATGGTGACTGTGAGAAGAGAGGACGTTATGGGCTTCGCTTCTTCTCTTTTTTTTCACAACATTTACAAATTTTTCTATAACTGTTCTATTCATGACTAGACGACTTCAACCTATTTTGTTTTAGATGAGTCATCCTAAAAGAAAGTTTTCTCCTTTTAGCCCACGTCTTCTTAGTCTACTGCTGCCTCTCTTGTTTTTGAACCAATTTCTCAGTCGTTACTCTACTTTATATAGTTTTGCAACTTGGCTGCATGCATGCTCCTCCACAAACATGACATATTTAGTTTCTGCTCCAGCTCTTTTTTTTTCTTCCTTACCCCCTTCCACAGCTTCACTTCACCAACTTTATCGATTTTTCTCGTTAGCTCCAGCTTCGCAAGCCATTTTTAATAGTGTTTTTTTGCCCTTCTCGTTTTCTTTTTTTTTTGTGCTTCAGATGTGCGCACTCAGAAAGAATAATTCTTCCAAAAGAGATTCGGCACGGGCGAACCCTGTGTTTGATGCCAAAAGAGTAGCGAAAAGTGACAGAAAGGCGAGGCAACGTCGACCGAATGCTTGCGTCTTTCTCGTGCACGAGTCGGCAGGCAAACAGCTGCATTCGATTTTCTCATCGTTTTCTACGCTTATTGCTTCATCTTTTCGGTTTTCTGTTTTTCGTTTCCTCGTTTGTGTGTGTGGAGAACAAAAGAAGAACAACGAAGCATGTCTGATGATGTGTTGTAATCATGTTTCTCTAGTTTAGACTATTTTAAAGTTGTGTTTTTTATCACTGAGTTCCTTATTATCATTGGCAGAGAACTTTTCCAGTCATCAAAATGTCTCACTATCAGAAACAATTCTACATTTCGTAAAATTTTTCGTAACTACTGTGTTTCGCGTCAAGGCTCACATGATTTCTATGCTTATGCGCCTTTAAAGTGGATTTACGATCGCCGAGAGCTTTGTGATTGCACCATTGCAATGTGTGAAAGATCAATATCGTTTCGACAACCAATTCCTTTGAAATTTTTGTAATTAAAATCAATAATAAATTTCCGAGTTTCGAAATCTATTATTTTCGATGTGATGACTAATATCATTTCTGAATTTACACTTCTCTCGCTGCGTCTCATGAGAGTAGTTCTCCGCTTTCCCGGCAATAAAACCGGTGGTTCCACTTGGCATTCACTTTCGTCTTCGTTTCTCATACGCGTCTCTCTCCCTTTTTTCCCCGTTACGGCTCTTTTCCAATGTATCCATGACAACTTGATAGAGCCCGTTGAGAGCAAATGCTTTTCATATCCGTTTCATGCTTGAAATAATGTATTTCTTCTCGATCAGTGTTTTTTTTTTTCAGTCTCTGCCTAAACGCTCAAGACTCAGCTTTTTCCGGAAATGATTATCAAAGAATAGTGAGTAAATTTAATTAAATTTAGTTCAAGCAACACAAATAATTTTCAGTCGCGTCGTCCTCCCTCTGTCAGTGGAAGAATATCAAGTTGGTCAACTATGGTCCGTTGCAGAGGCCTCTAAAGCTGAAACTGGAGGTGGAGAGGGTGTGGAAGTACTCAAGAATGAGCCATTTGACAACGTCCCACTCCTAAATGGACAGTTCACTAAAGGACAATACACCCATAAAATCTATCATCTTCAATCGTAAGTCCTAATTTTTCGAAGAAAAAGTATATAATCTTTGGATTTCAGAAAAGTGCCTGCTTTATTGAGAAAAATTGCACCGAAAGGATCGCTGGCGATTCATGAGGAAGCATGGAATGCTTATCCATACTGCAAGACGGTCATCACCAACCCAGACTACATGAAAGAAAATTTCTATGTAAAAATTGAAACAATTCATTTGCCGGATAATGGAACTACGGAGAATGCTCACGGACTGAAGGGGGAGGAGTTGGCGAAGCGAGAAATCGTAAATGTGAATATTGCCAATGATCACGAATTTTTGAACTCTGGAGATTTACACCCGGATACCACACCATCGAAGTTCCAGAGTACAAAAACTGGAAGGTAAGTTTTTGACACGTTTTTTTTTGCTGAGTTCTATTTTTTTTCCCAGAGGTCCTCTTTCTGGAAACTGGAAAGACAATGTGCAACCAGTGATGTGTGCGTACAAACTGGTTACAGTCTATTTCAAATGGTTTGGATTCCAGAAAATTGTAGAAGGATATGCCCATACGGTAAGTCAGAAACAATTCACACAAAGATTCATTAGGCAAAAATCTTTTGAAAAATTTTTGACACCTTAAAAATTACAGCAATACCCCCGTCTGTTCTCCAAGTTCCATCGAGAAGTGTTTTGCTGGATCGACAAATGGCATGGACTAACAATGATGGATATCCGTGAAATTGAAGCCAAAGCGCAGAAGGAGTTGGAAGAGCAACGCAAAAGTGGACAGGTTCGGGGAATGAACGGATAATTTGATCTTCATCACCTTTCGAATCTAGTCCTTTGGTTTCAACTACTTTTTCGTCATTCTTTGCCCCTTCTCCCCTGCCCCATGATTTGAATATGATGTTTTGTGTGATCACTCCTTTTCAAAACCATTACCCTTTTCCTTTTTTCTCTCATTTTCCCCGGCTTCTGCTCCATCTCGTCACTCACTTTACCACTAAAGTATAGCTTTTTCTCAACGAAGTTGACTGACGGATCCCTACGTCACTTCTGTTTTGCAGCTTCCTTCTCCCGATGAATATGTTGTGAGACAAATATCGTAGCTCATTAGTAATTTAAAGAAAAAGTTCAAGTTTAAAAATTTTTCAGATGTTTGGTTTCTTTTTGGAATTTTTTGGGATTCTCATATCACCCCCGCTCACCAACCTTCCCTTCCCCAGCTTTTCCCTTTTTTAGACTATGATACAAATGATAATTTATATAGTTACATTATTATTTCCTTAACTTTTGCTTTCCCTTTTTTATTGGTCCCTTTCTTCTCAACGATATTCTACAAAGTCATCCAAATTATTGAACATTCGAAAGATAACACAAAGAATAAATGAATATTGTTTTTAATTATGTTCCCTGATCAAAGGGTTGTGCCCCAAGGTATTTTCAGATCTATTCCTTGAAGAGCACAATTAATTAGTATGCGAGCGATACATTTCCAGATGTTATTAAGACGGGTCGTTAATAGCGTCGTCCAGGTCAGAGCAATTAGTGATCAGATGACCCCGGAAAAATATGAAAGAATTTTTTCGGTCTATTCTTTATGGTGAATAATTAAGGAAAACGAAATTCAGTGAAAATTGATTAAAATTTCCAGGAAAAGGTACAATTTTCGATATGGATTCGCCGAAAATCCAGATCATAAACAAGTCCGGATAACGAGATCAGATAGAAACATCGAATTTTATCATAGAGTAAGAACAACTTGGCGGGACTTTCTTTTCCAATTTTATCGAGTTTCAGCTTTCGCTTATGGAGGGGTGCCCTCGTGTAGTATTGGATCGACCAGAAGGAACTATTCGAAAGCTGAAGGAGAATGTGAAGGGTTACATGGTTCTTGAATTCAGCCACTTGGTTAGTAAACGATTTATTCCAGAGAAATGCATTTGTTCGTGGGTTGGGACTCCAGGAAGATAAAGAGGATTTTCTGGCACTATGCAACTCAGCATTTTTTGAAGTTCTGAGAGCAGTTAGAGAAGTGAGAATAGTTTAAAATTATCATAGAATGTTTCTGAATTTTAAAGGAAGACTTCTCGAAACTTGCGGAGGTGACTCTTGGCGGAAACGAAACACTGCAGTTTCATCGATCGGCAGCTTATAAACTCAACAAACTTCAGAAAGAATCACTAGATGTAATGTGCAGTCCAAAATTGCTTTTCCCAAAATTGACAAAATTGATAATTTAGATCACCGAAGACGATTTGCTTGGAGATAATGGACATATAATCAGGCTACCATTTTTGAAAGGTAATTGATGTTTTTAAGAATCTGACAAATCAACATGTTTCAGAGGAAATGGGACCTTACATTCACTCGATGGATTTCACGAATGTCGATGCCGTCGGAAAGACACACTCTAAAAGTGGTGAAAATCAAGGCGACAAAGTATTCTGCAGGTGATTTGCGATACTTTTTTTCAGTTCTCTAATTCAAAAATTATTTCAGATACAAAATAATTATGGGCGGAGTTTACAAATTCGATGCTCTCCGAAAAGACCTCAGAAAAGAAAACATTTGGGAGAATAAGATTGTAACTCCAAAGGATTATGTCTTCAAGTCTCCACGTTACACACTCGTCGAGTTGGATATCTGTCAAGAAGCGCACAATCAGATGCCGATTAAGTTGGATTCGAATCGCGACCTTTATGATTTTCATGTTTATTCTTTCTGAGATACTTGTTTATTTTTATAATATAGGTTATGACTCGAGTAAAATCATATAACAATACAACGGACAATTGAATTCAAAATTTTCATAATCAATCTCGAAAAATCTCAAAATTTTTCGGCACTAAACACTTCATTAATGAGACCTTCTGTTGAACTTCGGAGTAAGCTATTCAGGTACCAAGGCCCATTTTCATACAACCAATCAACTGTAGAAATAAGACAAACTGGAGAGCCTAGGGGATCATCATTTTGCGATGTGTATCGAATCAAACAAAATTTGTAAAATCCTTCCAATGGGACCGCAAACTTCAAAAGATTTGATTCTGAAAATGTGGGGTTCCTAATGGTAAAACTATTGAAACTCACTAGATTGAGACAGAATGATGCATACCAGAAGCCGCAGTTGTTCTGGATCACATGAAACTCCACTCGGTACATTTTCATTTGTCTGGAAGGAAGGATTTAAAGATGAATAATTTTGAAGTGTACTTACAGTAAACCTTCGTATCGTTGTCTGATCCCCATTGAGCAATAATAAAAGAGCAAATATCATCTGGCAGTTTTCCTCGACAACTTCTCTCCGCTGTTCCGATATCATAAAGTTCAGAAGTATACATTTTCCTGTTAAGGAAACAGCTTTCGAAAAAATCATGTCATCTGAAAACTTTGAAGCGCTTCAAGCCTTTTTAAATAAGTTTTCTCACATTTGAAAGAATTCAAATTGTTGATCCTTGGTATTGTAATACATCGTAATTTCCGAGGACCTCGTTCATTTTGAACTGCTGAAAACATTTTAGAGCTGAATTTATAAAAAGTCAAAAGCTCACCAAGTCGATTCATATTGAGTTTAGTACATTTTGCCAACCGACAAGCTGGACACCAATTCCTTCTGCCTTTATCAACTACACATCTCCAGTTGCCTGCTGTAACTGAGTTTCTTGTTCATTTTCTCAATTTTCGATTCAAACCTATACAAGTGTAAATTATATTCTTGCGAACACTTCGCTTGAAAAAGCAACTGCATCCATCACAAGCCCAAACTCCGTAATGTCTACCGTATGACTTATCTCCACAAATTTCACACACTACGGCGGCTGTATCTTTACGACCTGAAATTATTCCGCTTTGATTTGAAATAAAAACTAATTAAGATTACCGTAAAATCTGTAATAGAAGGGCCCCACACAGTCAAGTTTCAGCTCAAAAATGTCTGTACTTATAAAAGGTTTGTAATATTACAATGAACCCATGATCAGTTGACCAATTTTTCATATCTTGAACAGGAACCGAGATAAACGGGTTCAAAATTTAGGAGCCCTTCTACATTAGAGGTCTTACGGTATGCTATACCATTTCAATTTCAACTCACCCATTTCAATGAAAACAAAAAGAAGAATGATGAATGAATGCTAACCATTATTGGACACCTACACCAGTTTATATAATCCATGGAATCATTAATTGGATTTTCTGGTGTCAGGTGACTTGATTGTACCTGAAATCTGAGAATCCTGGTCCCCCCTTTCGGAAAAATAAGCCGCAATCATAAGACTGAAGAAAGAATCTTACTTGTTACGTTATAAGTCGGAGAATGAATTATTCGTCTTGGAAGAATACGAAATGAGCCAGATCGCTGGGAAAGTAGGGAGTTATTCCATTTCAATTAATGTGAATGTGAAGGGAAAAAAGAAACTAGGTTATGAAAATTATTTTTCATCCCCAAGAAAGTCATAGGTCAATGGGAAACTGTCAATGAAGGAAAGACTACTGTAGTTTTTTTGAAAACTGGGGGAGTGAAAAGAAGTGCCAAATATATCAAAAATCTGTTTAGTTGAATTCCTTCCTTTTGCTAATGATTCGAATTTCATTACATTGAATATTGAATGAGTTTCAGTGGGATTCAACATGATTTGTTTCTTTAAAAAAGATGGTGTCCAAGCTTTATTAGTTTCAGAAGATAGATGATTTACGGTCTTTGAAAATGTGATTCCATATTGCGAATGTCATGCCCGTGCGTCATCGTCCTTAATGACGTCAAACCGTTTCTAGAAGGTTCTATGCGCTCCCGGATTCATAATAGTCTGTATATATAGTCTGTATTTAACCCCCTGCTACCGACCATTCTTGGTTGGTGACTTTCTTATCTTTCTTTAATTGATTATGTTCTTCAAATAAATGGTTCTACTCAAGAAGTTAGAGTGAATCAATGAAGAAGCTGAACGTCTTCCGCTACCGGCGTTCAGCCTCTTTACACGAACTTCGATCTGAAAAGCTCTAAAAACAATTTATGGTGATTTCACTATTGGATCGCTTTATCATACGGTTAACAACTTTTAGTCTAAAAAATAAATAAAAAGCGGAATATTCCACCATCTCCATACTCTTACTTTGAGCTCAATTATCTCAATTTCTGTTAAAGATAAAAAATCTGTCAGCTAATAAACTGTTTGTCATGATATCTCCAACATTTTATCAGTTGGTAAATTTTTGTCATCTTTTATAGAAACTGAGATAACTGAGCTCAAAGTGCTCTTATAAGGTGCCCTTATATTAGAGTTTTACAGTAACTGTCAAAGTTAGCACGATTCATGAGCAGCACAACATCAAAAAGAATCATCCAAAAGAAAATTCAAAAATATTTTCAGCTGCCAAAATGGAGCTGAAGTCCAGATATGTTTCTTCGATTTTTTCTTTCTAGCCCCAGCTTTTGATTCCTAATAATGTCTGAAAAGTAATTGAAAAAAAAACAAGTTTATATTCTACGAAAATTTTGTCACAGAAGGTTCAGAGCAAAACTACACATTGTACAAGTAAAAATGTATTTGGGTGATGGGAGCACAGACAAAAAAGAGCACGAAAAAATGTATTGCAGATACGGACTTTGAAAGCATAAACGGGGAAAAAAGAAGTAGAAAACAGGGAGATATAGGCATTTTTCTTTGGGAGGTGATGCGAACAAGGATACAGAAAATAAAAAACAAATTGACAAATTGAAATAAGATGTTTAAAGTCTTTGTGTCGATCTAGAAGGTACCATTCGAGATGTTACCGATCCGAAAGCGTCTCGAAAAGTTTCAGTCCATCCCTGAAATAAAAAGGAATTAGGTTAGATCATGACAAGGAATTGTTATGTTCATTCTGTTTTTTATTTTTTTTTTATGTTTCATGTTAAATTGATATGGTCAGCATGTTAATGAACCATTCAGTTAACACATATACCATGAACTCCAATAGAAGGCACCCAAACCATCAACTTCGAGACGAGATATCTCGGTTTCCATAAAAGATATGAAAAAGTGATTAACAGACAAAACATTTTTGATATTATGATAAGTATTTTGCCAGTTGACAACTTTTTCATATTTTTCACAGGAAACTAGATAAATCGGCGCAAATTAAGCGGTATGGGTGGCCTTCTATTAGAGTGCTTACGCTATGTGCTATCCTGAATGGTTGTTTCAAAGCGTTTTTGTTAGAGCAAGGGAAAGGAAAGAAGTTAAAAACCTTGCCGTGGTAGGAGGATGGTGGTGGTGGTCCATGAGAAGACATTCCAGAGTTATGACGAGATGAAGCATGAGCATCTAGAACTTTCTGGTAACGTAGTTTACAGGCGGCTTCGATCATTTTGGCCATCGTAGCTGCGCTTGGTTCAACATGGAATACATAGCACATGAAACTCTCGTTTGAGGTTTGCATTATGAATGCACAATGTCTGAAGAAAACAGTGTTAGAAATTTGAAGTCGAAAATTAAACCTACTTGACATCCTTTCCAATTCCAAGGAAAGACAGATATCTGACTCTACATTCTGCTATTTGGCCTCCGTTGACTTCTACAATGGCAATGGTGGAAGGAGCAATCGAGACATCAGCGAAAATCCATCTTTCTGGACGAACTTGATTTACTAATCTATCTACAGCCTCGTTCAAAATCTCAATTCCTGTAGCTTTTGGAACCTGAGTAACTCCCAAGAAATGGCATCGAAGAACCTTTCTTGGCTCGTCAATCGGTGCAGATAATCCTTCACTTCGGACAATTCTCTTCTCTCCAGATTCAATGGCGTGAAGACTAGATGGTCTTCTGTGAAGCATGAGTCTTTTGCAGATATCACGAAGTGTGTTAGCGATTGTCTTTGCTGAAGTGTCGCATCGGAAGACGTGACACATGAATCGACGAGTACTGCGATCACGAGAGACGTAGGCGAAGTCTCTGAAACGAAGAGGTGTTCAGATTGTCAATGCTTTAAAACTTTCTCACCTTCCATTGTCTCTGCCAACACCCCAAACTCTGATTGCTTGAATTCTTTCCGAATGAATGACATTCATTGAATCCGGATCAATAAGAGCCAGCTCGTTGTCATCAAGTTCCATGATCAATTCACGACCATCATTCCATTTTGGAATATTATCAATGTCTGTTCTATTCGTCAAATCTATGATGCATCTGAAAAATTCCTGAATGTTTAATCTGATAAATATAGAAAATTGAATACCTGTTAACCGCTCTGGAAGATTTTTCAGCTGTCAATTCGTCCTCAGAAATCTCAATCCATCCCATTGATCGGACAGCGAATCTCACTGGTTTATGGTAAGTGTCCCCATTTTCGATTTGGTTTTCCTCCGCATATCCCTCACTCATTTCATCCTGTTCAATTCTTCTTTTTGTAGTTGTCTGCTTGAATGCGTGCTCCTCGATGACCGGCTGTTGAGGTGGCAACTGAATGATTTGTGGTGGTGGAGCATCGGCTTGAGTTTCACGGCTCTGAAAATTGTCAAGGTTGTGAAGAAGCCTTGGTAACAGAAAAACAAAAAAGTGCATGAAGCGACACAATTAAAACATACAGCGGTCGTAACAGAATACACGGGCGGTGGTGGTGGGGTTGGGCTTCGAGCAGGTGTCACATCACGCTGAAAACACGAACAGAAACGTGCGACAAAAGGGAGACATGGACAGCAGTACGGTATACTCAGTTTTAAAATTTTTAAAAAGAAGAATTGAAGGTCACTGATTTCTCACCGTAAAACCTGTGATAGAGGAGCCCCTTAGCTTTTAACTTTGAGTCAATTTATCTCGGTTCTTGTCAAATATATGAAAAAGTTGCTAACTGTTAAATTGTTTATCATAATGCGAAATACAAACATTTTATCAGTTAACACACTTTTTATATCTTGCATTGGAGCCAAGAAAACTTTGCTCAAACTTGTGAGGCCCTTCTATTTCAGGTTTTACGGAAGGTTGATTAAGGGTTTGTATTTTGAAATGCAACATGTATAATCCAAAATCTGAAAATCTTACCACTGGTGGTGGAGGTTGCCGTTGAATAGTTCCACTGTCCACATGCCAGTAATATGAATATCCTTGTGGATCTGAAAGTCAATTTCTTTTTTATCCCCATTTTTCAGAATTCTTACCTTGATGTTTCTCCCATCCAGGTGGCAAGTCTTTTGGCTCCTCTTCCATAATTGGTGGTGGTGGTGGTGGAAGTGGATGTCTAACTGGTCGCCTATACTGATTCTCGAACATCACACCACTATCATCAGTTTCTGGAGATAATACCGTATCCAACACTTCCTCCTCCTCATCGATAACATAATCAGTTGGAGGAGCCCTTCTTGGCGGCGACTCGGCTTCCCGTCTTTGTTGATCCAATTGCCAGTAGAAAGAATAAGGATCTCTGTGCTCTGTCATAATTGTGGTGTCTCCAATTTGCCGCACTCGGACACCGTCTTCTCCGCGAGAAATGGCACCATCACGACTCGCCTGATCGATTGCTGCCAATGATTGACGGAAGTCTTGCGCTGCAAACAACACCGAATTAGTAATGCAATCAAATCGTGTGTGTATGGACCAGAAGAAGAAGAAGCGAGGACATGTTTCTTTGTTCTTCTTCTTTTTAGGAAACATACATGAATAATCAACAGCCATGTTCCGTCTCCGCTCCTCCTCACGGCGTCCTTTCTGGCCTGCAAAAATTGATTTTGATAGAATTAGAAGAAAAGAAATGACAGGTGGAATTATTTTTCGGCTCTAGAATCAAAACTAGAATATGCTAAGTATATGAGGAAGTAGAGAGTAGCGAGGATACAAAATATTTTGAGGTTATTCAAGATACAAATCTTTAGAGAAATAAGCAACACAAAACGTTTGAACACCAAACAGTGAAAGCATGATGTCATTTGTCAATCTAGATATGAGCTTTGATCAGATCAAAGATTATGAAACTTCTATACAACTACAGTATCGCTCAATAAGATTTAAAAAAACGTATTTTTTAGTTGATTTTCGGTCTTGTGTTATCTTTTTCAGGAGCTTAGAGTTCGGCTGTCAAGTTTCCCATAACTTCAAAAACTTTGGAGGTTGTAAAACAGACCTAGGTTGAAAACTTTGCATTCACAGAATTTATTGAGAATTCTTAGTTTTTCAGCTATTTGCCGATTTCTGAAAGACATCTATTTTACTGAAAAATACGTTTTTGTAAGTCTCATTGACCGGTACTGTAGGTATGCTGAAGCATGAGGATCTTTCTAACGGTGTGGTATATCAAAAGAAGTATTTGTTACAAAGATTGCTAATTTCTGAATTAACTAGCAAAACTAGAGTTTTTACATTCATTCTCCTGATCTATTTGGTTTTGGAATAGAGAATCTTATAAGAGATACCGTACTCGACAGAACACATCTTTTAGCTTCAAAATTTTCCAGAAATCAGTATTATAGAATAAGTCTCACCTCGTCCAGATGAAGAATATCCACGAGAATCGTAGTGTTGATTGACAAGCCGCTTCACTCCGTTTTCAATAACGTATTCGCGACTCTCCTCCTCCTCGTACGCCTCTTTGAATGCGCTGTACTCTTCGTGCTCTTCCTTCAAAAAGACAGAATTTTTCTCGGGACGTCTTCCGCTTTTTTATTTTTCATAAAAACGAATAAAAATACTTTTTTTCACTCCCATCTAGTCATACTTATTTCATTTGTTCGCTTGGGAGGACAAGAAATAATAAAACTTGTATCTAGTCTCATAGGAATGAGGATGAGTAAAGAGAAATAGAAGAAACATGAAAAAGAAAAAATAAAAGAGAAGAAAAGTAAATAGAATGTTTGTAGACAAACATTACTGTACTCCATTTTTGATTCTTCTTCTTCCTAAACCTCTCTATCAAGCTAACAGATCATAAATTGATGCAAAGATGTTATTATCAGATAAATAGGAACAGAGATTCCTATTCCCTATGGGAATTGGAGTCTTCCAGAAGTCAAAACTTCCCATCTCAAAACACAAAACTGAGGTCTCGATTGACCTATAGAAAAAATAATTTGGCTTTTCAAAGTTTGTGAACGAGACGAAAAAAATGGAAAAGTTCGGGAGGATAGGGACCGGGGCAAATGGCAATTTTCGGGAAGAAGGAAAATGTGCAAAGTGTGGTGTAAAAACACATAAAACTTCTTTTCTGGGAGCACCCCACTACCACCACTAAAATAGGAAGGCAAAGGAGAGGAAAGGACCCCGAAGAAGAAGGAACCAGAGAAGAGAAAATGGGGTCGTCGGGGCGGCGAAGAAGACAAGAAGGCCAAAAGAGAGCTCTTTGGGAGCACTGATGATTAATTGAGAAATTCTGGTTGTCGCTAAGAGCAAGTTCCGAGTGTCTCTTTGTGTGGGGTGTTGCCTTATATTTTCCCTATTTTGTTATTCTTTCCTTTTTCTGTTCGCTTTTATTTTTCTATTTTTCTGATATATGTTGTTTTCTATTTAGAGACAAGTGTTTTTCAATTGAAATGTAACCTATTGTGAGCTTTATTCTAGAAAATTCGAGAGTTTTCATTTTTTTAACACACGAAAAACTGTGAACAGACTTGGTACTATTCTGACACGAACGCCGGTGGCCGTAACCGAAGATCCCACAGCGACTACAGTAACCCAAAAAACTTTTTTTTTTGGAATTTCTTTTCTCGTTTTTCACCGCTTTCCGTCCAGTGAGTTTTCTGTTATTATTCCTCAAAGAAGTCGGGAGATAAATATTTTTCATATTAAAAAATGACTGAAAACGCTCACAAGTCTAGGCTGATTTTACAGTGAAGGTTAACTTCAAAATGAGATTTCAGAGTTGTAAAAAAACATTCAAAAATGTTTATAGTTTTCCTAGTCTCAAACATTCTAAAGACGAAATTCAGGCACACTACCACAACTCAAAAATCTCCTCGGACCTCGGACGCCAAACTACAAGGCGATTCCATGTGCCATCTCCTGCCTTCATTCTGGACAAAGAAATGAAGAAAAAACATATATTAGGCGTTAATCTCGTATATACACACATGCAAATTGAATTTGCAAGAATGGAAGAAGAAGAAGAAGAAGAAAAAGAAAACAAGTTAGTTGAAAGAATGAAATTGGTTTTTTTGTTTGTGTTAAAAGTTTTTGAGAGTTTTTTTGCAGGAAAGTGGAGAAGCGAGAGAAGTTGAAGATCCTCGATTTTCGTGGATCAATTTTCTAAACTGAACTGTAGAAAAAAACAGAGAAGCTGAGTTTTCAAACTTTCTGGCCTATTCCTTAGGTTAAGTATTATAAAAGTAGGCCAAAAGGGGGCGGAGCTACGGGAAGTTGCTAGGTGAAGAAACATCTCGAACCCATAGAAGAACATCCATCCAAAATGTAAAATGTGGCATATGTAGTATACCAAATATTGGATTTCTTGTCTCCTCTCCCAGCCATCATATTTTTTTCGTTAATGCCAGCCAATATGGAATACGACGTCGTCTTGACGAAGAAGAAAAGAGTGCCCCCTCCCGCAGAAAATTCTCATGGGGACTGAATTTCGCATGAGTCTCTTCCGCTGGAACTCCGCCCACTTTTTTAGAAGGTCTCTTTTTGAGAAAATCCTAACCGAATAGAAAAGAAAAAAGAAGGAAGAGGTGAGGAGTAGATGAAAAATCTTTGAAAAGGCAGGAAGGGCGTGGGGCCAAATAGTGAATAAATGAATGTCGTGGTGGGGTCGGCGGGTGGATATACCAGAGGAGGAGCACAGGAAAAGAAAGGAAACGAGAAGGGGGGCAAAAGTGAAGTGGATGGCAATGCCTTTGCTCTTTGTGCACATAAATCTCTCACTCTCTTTCGGAGTTGACTATGTGGATTTACTTTCCCATTCTCAGTCTCACTTTAAGTTAGTTTACTAAGTAGTACTAGAACGCACACGGCGAGAAAAAATAAAGTGAAGATTGAAAAAAGGAGATAACTGGCTTTTTGGAGTGCTAAACTCCTCTTTTCTCCCACCCAGAACATTTTGTTTAGATGCATTAGTTTGGGGGAGGAAAAAAGGAAAAATCCGAAGAATTTCGGTTTAGGATTTTCGGGATTCCAAATTTTCTTGATTTTAAAAGTATCTTGATTTGAAATAGGCGGAATTAATTATACCAACTACTTTTGACTGAAACCGTTTACCGTAAAACCTGCAATAGATGGCACCCTTACTCCTAACTTTGAGCAAATTTATCTCGGTTCCTGATCAAGATTCACAAAAGTTGCTAGCTGGAAAACTGTTAATCATATTATCAGAAGTATGTTATCAGTTGACACATTTTTGATACTTTGCATAGAAGGCAAGATAAAATAGCTCAAACTTGACAGTGTGGGGCCCTTCTATTAGAGATTCTGCGGTGAATTTCCTTTCGAACCTGTCGCATATAACAGAAAGAAAATCTGGGAAGACTTATTCCAAGATTTCAGTATAATACCAAATATTCACCAACTTCCTTTCTTCCAAATACCGTAAAACCTGTAATTGAAGAATGTCAAGTTTGAGCTAATTTTTCTTGGCTCCTATGGAAGATATCAAAAATGTGTCAAAAAAATAACTTTTTTTGAAATTATGATAAACATTTTATCAATTGACAACTCTTTGACAGGAACCGAGATAAATTGGCTCAAAGTTGAAAGTTAGTGGGAGGGAGCCCTTCTATAAAAGGTTTTCCGGTTTGATCTACTACATTTCAAAATGACTCTGATTGACAAAAAATAAACAACTTCAAAAGAGTTAAGGAAAAACTTCTTAATTCATATATGTCTGAAATGTACCCGTACGAGATTATCCCAATAAAAGGAGCTCACAAATGTTGGAAAACCCAGGAAAGAAATAAGCTCTAAAAGCTTTAAATGATTTAAGATTGAGTATCGCATATCCGAAAGCTGTTACTTTTAGTACTCATAAACAACCAAGGATCTACTTGAGTCCTATTCTCACAATTCTTCCAAAAAACCCAGTCACGACAACGGAGACCAGGGGTCAGCTTGCATCGGAATATCGAATTTCTAAAATAAATGTTCATGAAGTGTTTGGCTACGGTTTCATTTTCAGGAGAGAGCTATTGAAAAGCTAGGATGAGAAATTGTATAAATACACAAGTTTTGAAATTAAAACAAAATACAGTAAAATCTGCAATAGCTCCCACACTGTCAAGTTTGATCTTTATTATCACAACTAGTATGCAAGGTATCAAAAATGTGTCAACTGTCAAATCATTTTTGATATTATGATAACCAATTTATGATAGGAACCGAGATAAATTGCCTCAAAGTTGAAAGTAAAGGGACCCTTCTATTACAGGTTTTAGGGTAACTGTACTTACTTGCATCCGATCATCAGTAACAAAATTCATCGTAGCAGTATCAGAATCACGACTATGAACTCGTTGTAATCGTTGTTCTTCGGACTCGGACACAAAATGAGTCGGTCTGAAAATGGAATTGTTGGTATAATAAAACGAAAAGTAAGCAAAGTGAAAAAAGTGAGTATCGCTGCTCCTTTTTTTCCAACAAAAGAAAGACTGGACGGATTAGGCGAGGTCGGAAGAATTCCCTCCTTTTTTGGTCAAGAGCACTCAATCACACTTCTCACCTCTGCTTATTCACTTCAATTCTCACTCTTGGAGTTCCTTCTCTCATTTTCAGAAGGAGCAAGTTTGATGAAATCTGGAAGAAGAAGAAGAAGGTTTTTAAAAAAATGTTTCAAGAGATAATGAATACGGTAATGGGCTTTCTATTAGAACGACACCCCTAACGTTTACCTTAGAGCTAATTTATCTCAGTTCCTGTGAAAGATATCAAAAAGTAGTAAACTAATAAAATATTTGTGATATTATGATAAGTATTTTATCAGTTGACAATTTTATACCTTTTACAGGATATGAGATACCGCAAAAACTTTAATAAAAGGCCTCCTAAGCCGTCAACTTCGTGCTCACATATCTCGGTTCCTGCGAAAGATATCAAAAAGTGATAAACTGACAAAATGTTTATCATAATATTAAAAACTTTTTTGTAGTTGGCCACTTTGTGATATCTTTTGCAGGAATAAAGATCATCGAGCTCGAAGTTGACGTTTTGGGTGACCTTCTATTAGAGTGTTTTCGGTAAATTGACTCAAAGTTGAAAGTTAGGGGTAGAGTTCTATCAGAGTGTTTACGATATGATAGAAAAATATGGTAATCATGAGAATGTAAAATGCTAAAGGTATAAAAAGAAAGTTTGTTAAATTTCGGTTATTAGTAGACAATGAAATGGGAAAGGATTTAGCTCAGAATCGAACTCTGTGTTCCCCTGAGTACAGTAATCCAAAACTTGACAAGTAGATATTATAGGCCAGAGGTCAAGGATCTTCGGCTGGAACATCAAAGTAGCTGACCTTTGACAAAAGTTCAATCACCAAATCTCCAAGCTTACAAATATCTCAAGGTTATTAATCAACAGGTTTCATTTATAATTTTTTTGTTGCTTTCACCTAAAACACTTGGCGAGAGACACCACTTAGAAACACATAAATGTTAAATTCAACTTTTCTTTTTCTCTCGGATGTGTGAGACTGTTTGCTTCTGGGGGGTTCTTCTCCGAGACTTGGAGCTGCTCTCCGTCGGTTGCGCGATGCCAACAGGCGTGTCGGCAAATAAGCTGCGAATTGTATGTCTCTCTTTTTCATATGTGTGTGTGTGCTGCTTCTATTCGGGGGGGGGGGGGGGTGATGATGGAGATAGAAAAAGAGAGAGCGAAATGAGTCGCCGAGATATGTGTTTGTTGAAATTTTGAGAAAAATCGCAGTCATTTTCTTTTCGTGTACAGGTCGAGAGAGAAGCAGAATGGAATGGAGAAAAAGGCTTAGGTGGGAGCAGGGAAAAGGACACAAAATAGTGTTGATACGATAACTAGTCAACGTTTGTTAAAGGTTTAACAAGAGTATGTTATACACTCGCAAAGGTTTTTGATTTCACAGAAAAAACTTGGAATTTCTAAACACAGAAAAAACTTGGAATTTCTTTAGAATTTCTAAATGCTGATTGAAAGTTGAAAATTTCGGAAAATTTCATGATTTTGCGGTTGAGAAGTGATATTCATTCAAGCAGTTGTGGGTGGAAAACTCAAAGATTTGATTGAAATCGACCATGGGTTACTGTAGATTCTGTGTGAATGGAACCTCGAAGAATACGGTAGGTACAGTAACCTTTCATTTGCTAGGAAACGATATATGCAAATTCAAAAGATTACTGTAGCAACAGTATTATTCTGATACAAAAATATGAGAGTTGTGGAAGAGAAACATCTGTGTCCGTGGCCGGAGGTCTCACAACGAAATTTACCGTAACCTAGAAATATTGTTATCTTCCGTTTTCAGTCGTGTTTTAACTGTTTATGAAAAATCAATTTTCCAACTTTTTTGGGAAAACTGAGAGAAAGTTTGACGAAAGGCAGTGAAAATCGAGAAAACAAATGGAAGAATAAAACATGTTTTGAGGTTACGGTAGTTGTCGCTGTGGGAGCTTCGGCCACGGCCAACGGCGTGTCTCTTCCACAGCTCCCTTTTTTCGGACCAGAATGATTTGAATCTTAAGTTTCTCAGTTTCTGAAAGAGCTACCGAAGTACTGACAGCTACAAAGATGTTTACCGGTGAACAATTTTTTAAATCTTGTACTGATTCATTCTTCCAATTTCTGAAATTCGGAGGATTACTGTAGCTATAGTAGTTCTAGGCTAGTTTACACAAACATATAAACGAATCAACGAAATTTCCAACGATTTCTATTGTTTCCAAACACATCCTCTCGATCTTCCGCACTTGCTCCTAACTTCCGAATGTCTTTGATTTTTGACCAATGCAATGCATAGACTATGAGCTATGTACTCCTTTTTAGTACGGAATTGGAAGAAATCCTATATCTCTTTTCTTCCTGTCATCTTGTTAGTATCGGAGGTGTAACATCCTTGTTTGAACACGAATAGCCATCATCAATACAGAAGAGGAGAGCACACAAACAATTGGATGTCCACCGGCGGATAGAGTTCACTTTTTCTGGCATTTTGTGAGAATCCATCATACAAACAGTTTGGCAAAACTTTTTATTCCGAAACTTATAGATCAGAAGAACCCAAACATTTATACAAAAAAAATTGGCAACTATTACCGGTTAGGCCCATTTGCATGCAGTTAAGACGACACTATGTATACCCAATTAAGAAATATTGAGATTTAAAAAAAACAATACATTATGATTATCCATCTTTGTGATTGTCCATCATGTGTTGATGAAATTTGTATTCGCATTCCGTCTCTGCATCGCGAACTACGGACTGATCGAATGCAAACTTGTAAAGTACCTGAAATTCAATTATGGACTACGGTAACTGGAATAACTCTTACAAGCATAATAAGAGCATGCAGAATGAGAAGATATGAGAAGAATACAGTACGACTTCTTGGAGTGGAGAGAATTGCGCGGCTCTGAAATATTTATTGCAAATGGGTAAATTTTCAAGAACAGCTCACAATGTGGAGTGTCGTGTTATCATGCATCGAAAGCCTCTTGTTACGATTCGTTGATCTGAAACTTTTAAATAATTATTTGTTCTAAAGAAGATACGAGAGCACACCAACTAGGTGAAACCGAAATAATGATACGAACCATTTTTCCTACCAGATGGTTTTACCAATTTTTCGTTTTCTCACAGCTGGTGTGCTCTCGCCAATACAGTTAAAAGCTTATCCTTTCACTCACTCATTTGCTAAACCAGATTCAACACTATTCAAACTTTGGCGATTTGGAGCTTGCAGAAAACGAATTCGTTCGCACAACCGGATATTCTCCTCTCGAACTCTTTCCACTTCATTCTGCACTGAAAGCTGTTTGGTCTTCTCCAACGACACCGCTTCTTCCAGTGCTGTCACTCTTTCATGAAGACGGTTCCTTTGTGATGTTAAAATCGGAACAAGTGAAGCGTCGGATATCGTTGGATTTGCATCATTTAACATATCGGTGGTTCCCCTTCGTTCGGTTATCTGGAAATCAAGAATTTCAATAAAGAATTGTGGATTACTCAATTCTCACTCCCATATCCTGAACGGCACTTTCCAAGTCACTTTCAAGTTGTGCAATCAGCCTATCATTCCTTTCTGACTTTTCTTTGAAAGAAACAAGTTCAGCCTCCTGTTCCTCGAACCGTACTGAAATATAAAGTATTATAAACTAGAAACTTTTATATTACTTCTCCAGACTCGTTATACTTTCGCATGTTTTGCCGCCTACGCCTACTTTTGCTTTAGGACCGTACTAAAAATGCTTACTCCATTCTGTTTGTTTCAAACATTTAAAAAATGGCAAAATTTATTATAAAAATATGACAAAGTGCAATAAGGAGGAGAGACCTTTTTCAAATTTGAGAGTCTTGCAATGTTTTTTACCGGTTGTTAACAGAAAGGAAAATGTTGCACGCAGAATTTGTGGGTTAAAGTGAAAGCTGCAAGAACGGAGATCATAATTGGGGATGAGTTCGATGGGAAAAAGATTAGCATGACAATGATTGAATGTTATGGTGGATCCAGCCACAATTGAAGGTATCTCTTACAAAATATAAATTTAATAAAATTTAATAAGTCAATTAATTGGCATTGGCTGCTGCAGCTTCACGGCCTTCTGCGAGACGAATCATTCGAGCCAACGCCTTATCCAGTTGTCCACCAGAATTTGGTTTTCTGGTGGCAGTGACAGTTGAAGTAGGAGCTGGTTTATCGAAGGGGAAGATTGGCGCACCGTTATTGTTGTTGGTTGGGGAGTCAACCGAAGTGGAACTTTTCACGGAAGATCCTGTTCGTGGATAGTAGTCTGGAGCCCATTGTTTCATGAGGGCAGGAGCTTCATCAAGCATTTTCTGAAGATCATCTTTCCACGTGTCACTTCGAACAGCGATTCCATTTGGAAGGGCATCCGAGTAGATCTTTCCTTCCTTTTCTCTTGCTTTGCTTCGAGTCCTGTGATTGTGGAACCAATTTTGCACAGTTCTCAGTGACATCTCCAACTTTGTAGCAATTTGCTCAATCATTTCATTGGTTGGATGAAGCTCATTGACAAAAACGAATCGGAGAACGTCTTTTTGGTAATCAGTGATGACAGTTCGTTGGAATGCTTTTTTAGATGGATCATAATCTTCTAAATCTGACGAAGCTTTCCTTTTCACTGGCTTCGGAGTCTCCTTGACAATAAAATCGAATTTGTCTCGAACTGTATCTTTTTCCTCTTCTTTTTTGATAAGATTCGGAATCGATGATGGATCATTCAGGAAGTTTCTCATTCGGAAGTACATCACTTTCTCGGTTGGTCTAGATAATTGGAATGGTTTGGTCCGAATCATCAGATCAGCACACATTGTTGGTGAACAGTTCAAATACTCGTCCCCAAAAACTCTTGGAGATATGCCATGCTCTTCCAGGACTTCTTTTACACGAGAAACAATTTTTTGCGAATCCAAAATTTCTTCTCCTGTCGAAGCATCGATGTATTTTACCAACTTCCCACGTTCGCTCGAGCTTGGTATCTCGGTGATCTGAAATCGACAACCTTTAAAAAATAAAATAAATAATCAACTAACCGTTTCGAAATCGGGTGTTTTCTCCCGGTGTACATCTTCACCGACCGAACTTCCATTCTCTCCTTCTTGTGTCACTGTTCCCAACAACGTTGCCAAAGTCTTCGCGAGATCACTGTCTTCTTCACAGACGCTGATTTTAGGCTGTTTATCATCATCGTCTTCCGCTGCTTCTTCCACGTCGTCCATGAATAATTGCATTCTTATGAAGGGCTCACGTCCTTTCTGTGTCAGCTGCGTCCAGGTTTTCGGTCTCGCAAGTAGATCAGAAACACTTCCTTGACTGAGTCCGAGGACATGCTCCCCGAATTGACGCTGTGAAATCGAATTGACCGTCAAAAATTCTTTGATTGTTCTAACAAGTTGCTCCGTATCCAAGCTGGAATATTTGTCGTATTGAGCTTGAGTGAGTGGTCCCAATCCAGCCGCGACTCGTTGCTTCAGAACTAGCTCCACAGCTGTCGGTCGGGTCTTTCCTGGAAGCGTGGTTGCTTCGTAAGGAATCGATGCCGAATTCCGTCGATTGCTTGCGGGTGGTGGAGGTTTAGAGGGGGACACAACTTTTTCAGTAGTTTCCTAAAATTGAAACTGTGAATTTTTAATAAGCTCATTGATCTTACCTCTTCAATTTTCTTGAGTTCAGTTTGCAGAATGCTCAAAATCTTCTCTTTAGAAATATCATCATGTTTCCAGCGAGTGGTTCGTAAGTGCATAATTTCAGGAGATGATTTCAAGTTCACTACAGGTTCAATCACAGGTTCTGGTACAGGAGCTGGTGGAGGAGCTTGTTGAGGTGTTTGAACTTTGATAATTGTGAATTGAGGTTGTGGACTTTTGGATTCCTCAGTTCCATCTAGAGATGAAGGACTTGTTAAATCAACAAGTGTTTCAGCTTTTGGGTGTTCAACCGTTTGATCAGCTGGCCAGACACGTCGAGGACTAAGGGAGCACAGCAGGTCAATCGCCTCGTCGTCACTAATCCATCCATAAATCCGACGGAAAGCCTCTCGACCTTTGTCGGTCAACTTGCTCCAATGTCGGGGCTTTGAGAGTAGCTCAGACAATGATCCTTGAGACTGAAAACGGGATACTTTGCCAAATGATTTTTGGGAAATCGATTTACCTTCACAACTTGATTCATTACGACTTTCGCAAAAAGCCGTTGTCCAATATTATAAGCAATCATAAGCCTCTTACAATGTGACGCTATCTCAGTTGTGTTCAGGGCCTTTCCATTGAGCGTTTGAATGTTGACTTGAATTCGTTTCTAGAGAAAATTTTTTATGAAGACTAGCTTCAGGAATGAAATATTTACCTGCATTTTTTCAATAGTTTCGTTTTCTGCTTCTAGCTCCTCGGCTGTTTTCACTTCAACTGGCTTAACGGAAGAAGAGAAACGTTTCAAGTTTAGAACAGTGGAAAGTTTCAAATCATCATCCATTCGAAGATCATTTTTAGGTAGAGCAGAACTATTCGTCAGACGTTGTAGAAGACTTTGCGGTGGGAGAGCAGTTGTTGTGATAGTATGAGTTCCTAAGCGAGTCACTTGTTTGGCAATTGGCGGTGTAGGTGTTGGTGTTGGAATGACCGTAACCGCAACTGTCTTTTCCTTAAAAGTTTCCTTAGCCTTTTGCTTTCTCAAAAAAGTGAGAACATCGATATTTGGATCTTCTAACTTCAAATCATTTTCCATTTTTCTCTGCTTAGCTTCATTGATCTGAAAAGCGAAATTCCGATTTTGCCCAACCAAAAATACACGTACTTTCGCTAGTAACTCTCCATCCGTGTTTTTCTGTCGATAAGCGGTTGCTTCTTCGGCTCCTATTCTTTTACCAACTGTATCCACAACACGAGAATGACTTCCAGAAATAATCGCTTTCATGACATCGTCACCTAAAAAACCGATAAAATTCAGGAAAGGGATATTTTAAAAATATGAACAATTCACAGAATTTTTACAACATAAAATAATAAACAAGACAACAATAACCATCAATAAATGCATAACAATTACGAAAAATTGCGCTAGCTTTTCTCTGTAATTTTTCTTCGAGCAATATGTACTTCACTGGCAAAAACATGCAAAATATCTTCTGGACTTCTTCTTCCTGTGTTTCTGTTTCAGAAACTTCACTAGCTTGCTTCACATGCAGAATATATAGCTAAACGCATGCAGCTTCCAATCGTCCCAGACAAATCAGCAGGTCCATTTTGTATTGCCGATGCATCAAGCTACTGCTAATACTGAAAACTAACCTTTGAATGTTTCTGCTTTCACTCGAAGACTCGCATTTTCATTTTGCAGCCGACGATTTTTCTCTGCCAGCAATCGATCGAGTGTCTCAACCGTTTCTCCCAAGCGCTCAATGGACTCAGAATTTGCTTCAGCTGCTGCTCCAAACTCGATTTCACGAAGAAGTCTGAAACCTTTACCGTACAGTAAGAATGATTATAAAATTTCACAAACCTCAGCTCGTTCTTGATAGCCTCGTAGTCGTTACGGCCATCTAGTGTGCTCTTCAACTCATTCAACTCAGCAATCAACGCTTGATTATTTTTCTCCATAGCCGAAAGAGCTGATTTCCATTTAGCAACGTCGTCAGCGTGAGCCGATTCGAGCCGCTTCACATCATTAGTCAGCTGTTGAATAGCTTCGTCTTTTTGAATGAGTACACTTCCAAGAGCGGCAATATCTTCAATGTTTCCGGCTTTTTTGCTTTCATTCACCTTTTCGGCTTCTGTTTCCAGTTGTAATATACGCTCTTCAAGGAACACAATTTTGTGGTTGGCATCCGTCAGATCTTTCATTGCAATTGACAGTTGCTCATTCTCTAATCCATCTTTCTGTTCTACAGTCATCTTGGCGATCTCCAATTTTCTTTGCATTTCCTTGTTTTTAGATTCAATAGTGTTTAAGTTTTTCTCCAGAATATCATGCTGTTCTTTCATTTTATCCCGTTCTTCAGTGAGTTCCGCTAGACGAGAGTTCAATTCAAGCTCCGCCTTCTTTTCCACTTCGCTCACTGCGTTTTCGATCTGCATTGAAAGGTATAATTAAATAGGGATGAAGAAATTTGAAACTCACGAAAGTATCCTGCTCAGATTCCAATTTCGCTAGCTTATCCTTCAACTTTCGGACTTTGACATCCTTTCCACGAAAATCCTCGAGTTCGTTGTTCGCTTTCAATAATTGACGCTTGAGATCTTCTCGCTCCTCCACCGCTTTTTGTGTTTTCTCGGCGTCGCTTTTCCAAGCTTCCGCACTTTTGAGCAATGATTTTGGATCTGAAAATCAGAAATAATCTAGATGGAGATATAGGAGAACTGATCAATGAAGATTAATCTCATGATAGGAGAACACAATTTGGTTCTAACAATAACAACATGGGCCATCGTGTACATTGGAAACCAAACATCAACTAATGTCTTGAAATAATGAGTTTCTCGAACTTCTTCAAGGAAAAGAAACATTTTGAGACCGAGTTATTCATTCTTCTAAACTCTATTCATATTCGAAAGGCTTAGAAATTTAGTCGTAATCCAATTGTTGAAACTTCAGAAGTTACCAGAAAATATGGTTGATAATGAAAAATTACTGTAACTATTTCTGAGGAAGAGTATAACTTGAATAGAGTCTGTGCGAGCTTAGAGGCTATAGTAAGCATTAAGCCAAAAGGAAATGATGCGCGCATGGCTAGTTGTGAAAGAAGAAGAGTGAAGGAGAAAACGAGAGAAAAAACAGATCGATCGACGAGAAAGGCAATCGAATAGCTCGAGCCAAGAGGACGGGCGATGGCGAGGAGCACGATGCCAGACATTCAGAGCATTTGAAGCAGTGAGCATGGCGGGATGCGGGAGACACGACAACCCCCATGAGAAGAAGACGAAGGAAGAGAGGAGGAGCACATGCGTAGTGAATGTGTGTGCGGGCAAAAGAGGACAAGAAGGACCTTGTATGGAGGGAAAATGGAACGACTACATTCGGAATGAAAGAATGGGAGCAGATGGTCAGATCAATCGGGCATCGCATCCGCTTTCGAGTGCTACACTCCGCATCGATTCTATTAGAATGAAGAAGAGGGATTGCACTTTCCGAATATCCCGAGAAGATTAGGCTAACGAAAGGTTTCAAAATCATTTGATTTGCCTATTTATAGAAATTGTTCAAATAAAAGATTAGCATACAATACGGCTTAAACACAAAAAGAAAATGAAAGATCTTATTAGAGTTTTTGTATTTTAGTTAGTCGGTTCAATGAAGCAAAAAAGTGTATCCACTTTTCCGGATTTCCAAAATAAATGCATTTCTAAAATACCTGATGATCAAAATGTTCCCAATATCGTATCACCTACTGATAAGAAACTAAGTAATCATGCATACCTGGCAGATTGATGATTGATCTACAGATGTCAATAAGTGCTGATTCAGCAGCCGAACTTCTAGCGAGCAATCCTTCAAACTCGTTTTGGAAGGCTTTGATTAATGGGATAGCCAATTTTCGATTCTCCTGAAAATGATAAGAAAATAGTTTAGTGTTTTTCAGCAGGTAGATGTAGCTTTGTTTTCTAATTACAGTGATTCTCAAGAGTAAAAGATAGAGGGAGAGAGATAAAACAAGAGAGAGTGTGGTTCAAGAAGAGAAGCTCGTCAACATTTTCTGCTTACAGAGAAAGAAGAGATCGATGCGGAATCGCGCACAAGTGGGCGGACCGACGCCTCCTCGTCTCGAAGAGAAAGGGAAAGCAGTTCCAAATCGATCTGGGACCGCCTGAGTCTGTCACGTTATACTCTGCGTCTCCGAGCCCTCAATAGGCAATCGCTCGGTTGCTCGTCTCGATCATGCATCTGCATCACGGCTATGGGGAGCGCAGCATAACGGGCACGACCAAAGGGAGAGGGAGACCCATCCGGAGATGACAAAAATCGATTCGATGCTTTTCACTCACCAGGAAAAAAGAGAGAAGTGTGAGTGCGGTCGACTCAAGAAGGACTGCAAACCAGAGGGACCGATTGGATAGAAGAATGACTTTTTATGAGAAAAAGATGATCAGAGCTAATTTTGTCGTTCTTTGCTAGAATCAAGATGGTTTTTGAATAATTGAAAGAACAATTTTGCTAACTACCGTTAGATGATCGTCAGAACACTGTATCAGTTCCTACTCTGAAAAAATGTTTTGCTCTGACTTTGAACAATGTACAAGGACTGATCCAGATCGTGAGGACTGATCTTGATCGAACATTATGGATCCCTACGGCGGGACAGATGTTCATTCCACATGAGTGTAAATCTACATCGACCGATGACAGATTGCCCATGCGAGTTATTATATGGTAACAGGCAGATGTGCATGGTGGCTCGTAAAGGGGAAGGATGGGGATTATATCGAAACGGATACTAATGAGACCTGCGAGAAATATATCAAAAATTTCCCTTTCAATGTATAATAAATATGAGTTTCCTTTTGTGGGGTTCGGATTTTTAATTTGATCGTCAGCAATAAATATATTGATATTAAAGCAAATGGTTTACCTTGTTGGTTCTATCTTTGTAGGCATTGCTCTCTCCCACAAGCCGTTCCTTTCTTGCATCACTGTCATCTTGGCGAACACCAAGAGCTGCTACTTCAGCTTCAACTCTAGCCTGAATACGAATGAAATATTTTCAGAAAGTATTTGCATTCCAACCTGGAGTCTTTCCCAATCTACCGTATCCCATGCTTTTGTGACTGCTTCCATATGTCTGGCACCTATAAATAGTATACGACACATTAGAGAAACACAGCAAACATAAGGCATATTGTTAGATAGAACACACGGATTAACACCAAAACAGTTACTTGAAAAAGGATATATTCAAAAATCTACACTTTATTCGCTGAAATATGAAAATGAACGATTGTTAAAAAGAAGAAGAAGAAAACGAAAATTGGGGAGGCGACTCTATTACTTTCACAAGGAAACAACTGTAGTTTTTTGGTTTTCAGATTTAGCTTTCAGTGATGTTGTAGCGCCAATCGTTATATTTACGGTAGTCTTTACGGAGATGATACTCGGCTGGCAGTTCATTGAGCACTTTAGCTGCTTCAGCTTTGTAGTCGCGAAGTTTCACCTCTGGAAAAATATGAAGGCTATATTTAGATTTTCAAACATTTTTTCATTCTTTTTATACTTGCAATACATATTTTTGATTTACATAAGCATTGATATTTTATTATAGGAATTCTCACCTGGAGCTGGAGTAGCCGAATCGTAAACATGAAGCTTGCTAAAATAGCCGAGTTTCGGGCGGGTTAAGTTCATGTTAGCTTCAACACATGCGTCCAACTCCTTCTGGTCGTTATGACATCTGGAAAACAAATTGATATAACAAAAATCTTTTCCAATAGATTCTTCTTTGACATTTTTTGTTATGAAATAACAGAAACGCAAGGTTTTTTCTATAAAAATACCCCACTTTTGCAACGGTCTCCGTAGTCCGTACTCAAAGTCGTTTGACTAATATTTATAATATATTTATTTGCAATGCATGGGGGAAATCGATAGATAATTTGGCAAGAAATGGGACCTGTACAAATAAAAAAGTAAAATGACCAGACGGACCGACTAGAGTCCTGTAGGTCAAGTGGGAGGGATCAGAATATCATAAGGAATCGCTCCTACTCGCTTAGCAAACGCCACCGGACTGAGCTTAGAATTTATCACCTTACATACACGGTTCCACATAGACAAGTTTCTGTGAAGGAAGCAGTCAAAGTATTAGCCGTTGATTTTGAACAAATACGGGGCTCTGTTAGAATGGCTGGGAAGAATGTAGGACGACATAGAGGGGAAATGGTATGAGTTTATAACAATTTTGTGATAGGTACGAAGAACTAGAAGGGTGCGGCGATGAAGGGTGGTTTTCCGTCCTACATATGTTCGGGTGGAATTGAATCGATTTTAAACAAAATCATAATACTTACTTCGACATATACAACTTGGCACTTCCTTGATCGACGCATTCGGCGAGCTTTTGTGTTTGTGGGAGGCAGGAACGTTTCAGCGATTGCAGAAAATTAACTCCGCAAGCTGTCAGCGCCGCTCCTTCTTTCAAAACGGCTCGTGGATCTTCCGATTCTTTTCTTCGAAGCATGAACTCCTAAAATTTTACTAATTCAAAAGTATCGAAAGAGAAAAAACGAACGTTGGCTTCCTTTTCGCAGTGCTTTGCCATGTATGGAGCGACAGCCTTGAGCCAAGGTGTAGAAAGGGATATTTCCTGAGGAACTGTGAGTTCCTCATCGCTAGGAAGGTGTGTATCCTTTGTTAAACTCATCTAGATTTTTTACCCTGAAATAAAAGTATTATTAGATGACTGGAGGATATTCAGATAAATAAAGCAGGTAAACAAAAAATATACATATATCAATGTACTATTATAAAATCAAAAAGTCCATATTTATCAAACTTCTATGATTAATGAAAATATCTTGAAGTTCGCATTCGATGTTTTGTTTATTTTTATCAAATTGTTTGAGAGACGGCTGGTTCCGCCGTAAATCGACACAAGCAAGAAGGCGCATGCCAGCCTGGCTCTTTTCGTGCCGAAACCCGCTACTCTATCTGATTTACGGAGAGTGTGTCGATTTACGAAGCGAACTTTGCCCTTTGTTTTGCTTGCTCAATTTTTTGAAATCGATTCGTTATGATTATCAGATTCTCGCTGAGCAGCTAGAAATCTGCTGTATCCGACAGAAAAATAGTCTTCCGATAGACCTATCAAAAAATGACGGCAGAAGTTGCACCAGCTGGTACAAAATCGCCGGCTTTATCAGTTCCAGTTGTAATATGGGGGCCCAAACCACCAGAAAACAGAATATGTACAATTCGCGTTCTTCCCGATGGGTCAACGATCATTACAGGTTTCTTGAATTGAGTAGACAGATGAGTGAATTTAAAAATAATTTCCAGGAGCTGAAAATGGACATATTGTCATATGGAAGCTAGCAGAAGGACTCATGCCAAAACAGCTGATGATTGGACATTCTCAAAAAATAACTGCTATCTCTCAAACTAGCAATTCACCCACAAATACGTTAGTAAATAAAAACCTGCCAAAAATCGATAATTTCCCCATAATTCCAGACGCTTTGTTTCGGCTTCTGCTGATGGTCGAGTGTGTCTTTGGGAAATTCAAGATGGCAGATGTATTGATTCAACATCTTCTGTCACGATTCATAGATATATTTATCCATATGTAAGATTCGAGAAAAAAAAGTCTGGTTTATTTTTCTGATTGCAGACATACAAATCTTCTCGTCATACTAGAGCTACACGACTTTTCTGTATCGGAGACTATAGTGACATTCAAGTAATGGATCCTCAAGATCTGACAGTCGTTTTTTGCATTGCTTCTCGAGTAGAACCTGATTGGATTAGTTGTTTCACAGTTATCACTCATCCAGAAAAAGAAGATCAACTTATTGGAATGACGTTGAGCGGAATGATGAAGGTAGAGATTCAAATGGTCTGCTTTGATATTATTTTCAAAAAAATGTTGCAGGTTTGGACATTGATTGAGTTAGAGAAAAAGGATCCTTCTTGTTCATTGTACGAAGATGAATCGAAACGCCTCGAAATTCAACATATTAGAAGCGTTTCTTATATTTGTTCGGCTAGAAGAATGCTGTTAATAGTTGCATCAAGTTCTTGGATGATCATTGATATGGATGATTTGTCAACTGTCGTTCTGTACAAAAACAAAACAACCTCAAAACGGTGCACTTCCGGTTATCTTACTGATTTGGACAAAGTCACCATTGGTTACACAGACGAATCTATCAACGTTTTCCAACTTCCGATTACGTAAGAGTTTATGCAGAGAAACACTGAAAACGTTTTAGCTGATTTTAGAAGTTTACAAAAGGAAGGTGTTCCACCGGTTACTGCCAGCAATAGACCAACATCTAACTATTTCGATGAACCTGAACCATTCGTTGTAGCTACTGTAAACGGAGTACTGGAAAACGGAAGATCTGTGAGTTATATTTAAATAACGAAATGTATTTGAAAATATTTTTTTCTAGTGCCTCAATGATGTTCAATATGCATTCCTTCCCTACGAATCCGCAGAACCATCGCCTTCCCTGGCCGGAGAAAAACGAAAATTTTCAGTTGTTCGTAGCTCCAAAAGAGATGGAAGTGTCCTTGTCTGGAATATGCCTCCTTTCGATCATCAGTTCATGAAAGCTGTTCCTGCACTGCGAAATTTACCATTCAGTATGCTCGATTTAAACTATAATGGGGTTATTCATGTAGCGAAAATATGATTTCAATGCATTTACAGTTATGTCG